TAGAAAGAAGAGTAGGGTAAGGTAAGGTAGGGTGTGTGGGGGAAGGAAGGAATAGAAAGAGGAAGAGTAGGTAAGGTAGGGTAGGGTGTGTGGGGGAAGGAAGGAATAGAAAGAGGAAGAGTAGGGTAGGGTAAGGTAGAGTGGGTGGGGGTGGGGGAAGGACAGAATAGAAAGAGGAAGAGTAGGGTAGGGTGGAAGGAAGGAATAAAAAGAGAGGAGGGTAAGGTAGGGGAGGGTAGGTGGGTGAGGGAGGAAGGAAGGAAATGAAAGGAAAGAATAGAAAGAGGAAGAGTAGGGTAAGTTAGGATAGGGTAGGGTGGGTGGGTGGGAGAGAGGAAGGAAGGAAGGATAGAAAGAGGAAGGGAATGAAAGGAGGAAGGGAGGAAGGGTATTTCATCATTTAATTTCAGGTTGCAATTGAAGTGTCCCACCTGGCTGTTCCTCTGCCTCAAGCTGGCCTATTTACATCTGCAACACTATTTTAGAGACTGCCGCAGATAGAGAAAGAGAAGATAAATTTTACTGAGCATGGCAAACATTAACATTTTGAAATGTTATATCCAACTTGGGTCTTCTGAAACATTCAGCTATTTTTTAGACATATCCCAAGTTTTGGACTCCTTAGAATGGCAAGTAGCATCTGTTGTTGGATACCAAGAAGGCATTTTCATCCCTTTGAGATTCCTGAGACGAGCACAGTGTTTCTTCAGGATGTTTTGGAACCGATTTTTGGGGCGTTTCTGCAAAGACAGGCTGGGGCAATCAAGATCAGAGCAAGTTGTCGCTAAGAAGGCCGATGATTTGGAAAAGACATCCGGATCCTGTACTTCCCCAGGATCAGAAAGTTTCAGTCTGTACCCGTTCTTTATTGAGCTAGAACTGCTTTCAGAGAGGTGAGCTTGGCTAACCACTTGGGCACGGTATGGACAGTGGTCCCTCAGGCTGATATTTGTGGAAGCTGCCTGCACACTGTCGCCATCGCTGTGTAATTGGTCGCCTCCTTGTGAGTCCAAGTCTCTCTTTGTGTTCGGATCGCTCGAGGAAGCCAAACCAAATTGGAAAAACAGGGCCTCTTCCTTGGTGACATGGGGACTTTGTCCCAGTGACACAAAGCCGTAAGGAGTGACGATCTTGGGCAAATGAGGCAGAGACAAAGCAGCTTGGGTGACAGAATCAGCAGGTATATCGTTCACCCCCAGATCCAACTCGACTCTGGAGCAGCAGGTCAGGAAGGAGCCTTGTGGAAAGCGGTGACAGTCCTTGATTTTGTTCCTCGACATCTGTTCCAAAGCCTTCACCTTGCCCAAGTGCTTACGCTCGTCCAGAAGGTCCAAGGAAGGAATGATGAATTCAGGGATACGATCTGGAGTCACCATATACCGGAAAAAATCCCCAGAAGGTTGCCTCGTGGGAGAGCTGCTGATGGATCGTGCATGGTTCTGGAAGGTCATTTTTCCTTGAAAAATCACAGATCGCAGCCAGCCGCCCCTCCTGAGTCATCAGACTGCTCCACAGCCTATTTGACCATCTCTCTGTGAAGCTCAGCCTCTTTTTATACACTTCGCTTCAGATCTCCTTGCTCCAGTGACGTCTGCAGCCACCAAGTGCCTCCAATTCCTGTAGTTGTGATGCTCCTCATTTAGGGATGGTGCATCCTGCAGCAAGCAGTGGAGTCCTCTCACCCTGTGCCCCAACTGCTGAATTGCATCGTTTATGCTTTCTCAAGGTAAATCGTGTAGGAGGGATGCTTAAGCAGATGAATTCTGAAAAGGATGGTTTCTCACCTGGAGACAGGAGCAAGAAGATGCAAAGTGAACAACAATGGCATTGTGCAACATGGCCCAGGAGCCTGGAGGAGGCGTCAGCAAAGAAAAAAGGTGAGTCAGGCCAGCACTTCAAAAACAGGAAAGATTAGAAAAGGATCTGTGATTCCCCCAATCTTCTTTTCACCAGGAAATCAACTTGAACAAAATTGAACAAGGACATGAAACCATTTTTTTCAATACCAAAAATGGATATCACACAAAAGGTCACAAAACACAACCTGTTTTCAATTGTTCCAAAGTGCAAGAAATCGAAGAGAGGGTTTTATGTAACAGGGAGGTGGATTATCCTTTAAGGTCAGCAAACATTCCTAACCAAAAACCAGTTCGGAGCTAAACCGGACCTTGTGCATTAATGGAGGAGCAGGGACAGGTCAGGCAGCTCCTCAAAGGAGTAAGAACCTGTTCTGGACAATGAAAAATAAATCCTACAAGGATAGATGGAGGGGTAATGTGAGTCTTTCAAGGGAGTCCAGAAGAAGAAAACGAAAACCAGAAATGTCAATACAGGTAGTCCTCGACTTAGAACCTCAACTGAGCCCAAAATTTCTGTGGCTACACAAGAAAGTTGTTAAGTGAATTTTGCCCCACTTTCCACAGTTGTTAAGTGAATCACTGCAATTGTTAGTAACACGGTATTAAATGAATCCGGCTTCCCATTGTCTTGGCTTGTCGGAAGGCTGCAAAAGGGGATCACATGACCCCAGGACACTTCAGCCGTCAAAAATAACAACAACAATAATAATAATAAAGTTGGAAGGGACCTTGGAGGTCATCTAGTCCAACCCCTGCTCAGGTAGGAAACCCTATACCATTTCAGACAAATGGCTGTCCAGTCTCTTCTTAAAGACTTCCAGTGTTGGAGCATTCACCGCTTCTGGAGGCAGGTTGTTCCACTGGTTAATTGTTCTAACTGTCAGGAAGTTTCTCCTTAGTTCTAGGTTGCTTCTCTCCTTGATCTCCATTGCTTCTTGTCCTGCCTTCAAGCGTTTTGAAGAATAGCTTGACTCCCTCTTCTTTGTGGCAGCCCCTGAGATATTGGAACACTGCTATCATGTCACCCCTCGTCCTTCTCTTCATTAAATTAGATATATCCAATTCTAACAGTTGCAATATGAGTCAGCTGCCAAGCATCTGAATTTTGATCACGTGACCATGGGGATGCTGCAATGGTCAGTGTGAAAAATGGTCATATGTCACTTTTTTCAGTGCCACCTTAACTTTGAATGGTCACTAAATGAACTGTTGTAAGTCAAGAACTACCTATAGGCATCTCTATGTTAATATCTCTGGTTTATATTGTATGCCTGTTCTAATCTTGCCTACCACCTAGAATCGCTGTGAGATCATTATTCTAGCAATATGATTTATAAATAAAAGGATGCTTTTATTGGTTCTTAATATTGTAAAGTGTCCGGAGTCTTGAAAGCCAGACATTCCATAGATTTATAAATAACTGAAATGAATGAATAATGAATAAGTATTTGATTAGGAACAATCTTCAAAAGCTATTATTTTTTAATGGGCTGTATTCCCATAAAAACTCAGCAAGTGAAAGCCCTTGGCTGATTCATCTAGACCAGGGGTCTTCAAACTTGGCCCTTTTATTATTTGTGGACTTCAACTCCCAGAATTCCTCAGCCAGGCATGCATGGGAGTTGAAGTCCACAAGTCATAAAAGGGCCAACTTTGAAGACCCCTGATCTAGGCTCAGAAATTAATCTCCTAGAGCAGTGGTTCTCAACCTGTGGGTCGGGACCCCATTTGGGGTCGAACGACCATTTCACGGGGGTCGCCAAACAAGGCTGTCTGCCATTTTTTCCCCTTTTTCATTGGCCACACCCCTGGCACCCAGTGATGTATAAGTGGTTGGGGGTCACCACAACATGGGGAACTGTATTATGGGGTCACAGCATTAGAAAGGTTGAGAACCACTGTCCTAGAGGCCTTTTGCTCTCCTTGCCACTCTTATCATCCCCCAAACACCACTAAATGACTTCTAAAATACATCTAGGTTCAAATTTCTTTTTCTTTCAGGCTGGCGTTGAAAACTATCCTTCATTGGAGGGGGTGGATAGGTGAATGTTGGTTACTATAGGATGAGGTTACTATCTGATTTAGTTACTGAGTGGGATCTCAAGTAACCAAGAAGTAGAATTTAAAATATGCAAAAAAAAAAAAGTTGCAAACTAGTACTTCCCAAAGCGGGAACTGAGTTCAGCCAAAAGGATTCTTCACCTTTTTTTTTCAGACAATGTATTCAGTTCTAAATTAGCCAACTCCCTTTATCTTAGTTGTCAAACAATGCAGTTGAGCTAGTTAAGATATAGAATATTATGTTTGAACTGAGAAACCTGGATGGAGTAAAGCACAGGTAAATAAAGACCAGGCAAACCAAGAAATTGTGTGTTCTTGTCCTGCCTTAGGCGTGAAGCCAGTTCTTCCCTCTCAGCCCTAGGAAAGAGGCAATGGCAAACCGCTTCCAAAATCTTGCAAAGAAAACTGAAGGAATTTGTCCAGTCAATGGACAGATATCAAAAACTGATTGAAAAGCATACACAAAATGTTTCATGCAAACATACCCACTACCATTAGTCTTTCATAGGACCAGCAGGCAATTAAGCAACCTTCATACAGCCGTTGCCAACTGCTTCCAGCATGTAATATATTCAGCAAAGACTTAAATCAGGGGTCTTCAAACTTGGCCCTTTTATGACTTGCTGAGGAATTCTGAGAGCTGAAGTCCACAAATCATAAAAGGGCCAAGTTTGAAGACTCCTGACTTAAATGCTGTCCCCTTTAAGCCCTGATTTCCCCCTAAACCTTGTTCTAGTCCAGGCACGCTGGCTGAGGAATTCTAGGAGTTGAAGTCACAAGTCATAAAAGGGCCAACTTTGAAGACCCCTGCTCTAGCCAAATAATATTCCACTGCCCAAACTTCGTAAATGCAACAACCGAGAGGAGAGCTTCAGGACTGCAAACCATCTTCCCTGTTTGACTGCAGGTTGGACATTCTTGTGCATGGTTGCTTAATTATAAGCCAATTAAAAATCTCCCAGCTGCATTCACAAGGTTAGTATTTCAGAATTTAGCACCTGGTATACACCTAACCCTTATTTGCACCACCTTTATTACAACCTATCCTTAAGTATTTTGAGGATCAGGATCAAAGGCAGCCTTTGGTGAAGCTGACTAATTAATGCTGGAAGGATTGCACCTGGGGCTGGGTCTATTTAAACCCAATTGAAAGCCTCAACTTTGCTTGACTTTTATTTTTTGCAATGGAGCAGAAGGAGGAAAATTCCTTGTCCCAGGTATTATTGTTGCATTTATACTATTGGGGAGGAGAATAGAAGAAGTTTGTGACAGGCACTTCAGCAAACAATGGTGCTGTTGGTATATGCTTAGAGCTTGAGCTGAAAGGGGAAGGGATATTATTAGAGGAAGGGTTTGTGCTAGACCTTCCCTCTCAGTCCCAAAGCCCAGTGTTGTAATGGGGAAGGTGCTGGACTAGGAGTGGCAAGATCCATATTCAAGCCCCTGCTAGACCTGGAAGGCCCATAGAGGGATTTGGGGTCAATGCCTCTTTCTCAGCCCAAGACCTGTTGGGAGAAGGTATTGAATTAAGAGCAAGGAATTTGAGGTTCTTGTTACTCCTCAGCTACAGAGGCTCCCTGGGGGTCTTTGGGCTTTCCCCCTCAGTTCAAGAACCAGGATGGTACAATGGGGAAGGTGCTGGACTAGGAATGGAGACACCCAGGTAAAAGTTCCTCTTTCAACCACCAAAGCTCATTGGCTGAATTTGGAGTAATCCCTCCCTCTAAGCCCAAGAGCCAGAATGGTGCAGTGGTGAAGGTAATGGACTAGGAATGGCAAGATAGAGGTAGTAGTCCAGCCATTGAGCTCATTGACTGAATTTGGGGCAGTCCCAAGAGCCAATTGGGTCTATTTGTGAAGATGTTGGACTGAGGTGAGACCAGTAGTGGGATTCAAATATGTGAACAACCGGTTCTCTGTGTGGATGCTGCTTCCGGAAGTCCATTCTGGGCCTGGGCAACAAAAAATTAGCTACCGGTTCTGCCAAAGTGGTGCAAACTGGCTGAATCCCACCACTGGGTGAGACCCTGGTTCAAGACCCTCTATTCAACCATGGTTGCTTCTTAGGGGACTATCTGCCAGTCACACTTTCAGCCCAACCCTCTTCATAGGGGTGTCGAGGGAGCACTGTATGCACTTTGAGGTATAAAACTATTGTTTTGAAAAATAAAAACTTGGAACTTCCCAACCTGGGTCTGAAGCTTTACATTATACTAAAAGTTGTGTTCCCTTTGGCAAAAGGATTCTTAAATAGTTTAGTTAAATAGAACACCCTCTTCATTAGGAGGAAAAGAGTTAATAGGGTGCTGTTGCTGCTTTTTTTAAAAAGGGGGGGCATGTGCAAAAGTGCAATTTAAGAAGTAGATATTTTTAGTACCAATCAGTCCCTCTAGAAATTGTAATACAATTTAGAACCATTTTGAAAGTGCCCCCTCTTCTGATTATAGGAGAAGCTGCTTGGGTCCAGATTATCACTAGATTCATTGGAAGCTAACCTTGTTGTAAACCAGGGGTCTTCAAACTTGGCCCTTTTATGACTTGTGGACTCCAATTCCCAGAATTCCTCAGCCAGGCACCGCTGGCTGAGGAATTCTGGGAGTTGAAGTCCACAAGTCATAAAAGGGCCAAGTTTGAAGACCCCTGTTGTAAATATTAGAGGCTAGAAATGGAGGGGCACATGACATGGATTTTGTAATTTGTGTACTTTATTTTAGTTATTAACATTGTAAAGTTATATTTAATTTTTATCAGGTCACTTATCACTGATTCTTACCAGCTGTGCTATTATAACTTTTAAAGTTTAAAATTAGAATTGGCCCTGATTTTGATCTGTGAAATGCATTCTCGCTCCTCAAGGAACAAAGGTATCTCTCAAGCATACGCAGAGTGCACATGCTTCTCATCAGTCATTCCAACAAACAACCACTAACCCTGCCTGAGGAATTGAGCAGGTTGGAGGAAGAACTTCTATATTCTCCTTTTGGGGGAAAATCCCCCCTCTAAACCAACATTTCTCAACCTTGGCAATTTTAAGTGGTGTGGACTTCATCTCCCAGAATTTTCCAGCCAGCATACTGTCTGGGGAATTCTGGGAGTTGAAGTCTATGCATCTTAAGGTTGCCAAGATTGAGAAACACTGCTCTAAACTATTCAGAACAACGGCTGTTTTCTGGTACGTTTTGCACCCAAGTCTCTCAAAATAGCGTGCAATGGCTCATTGACCCAGCAAGTGTTCTGAACCATCAGATCTAGTGGCTTGCAAGCTTCTTAAATGTCTTTAGGTGTCAGCAGCTGATTTCCTTCTTCTCTAGCAGATTTCTGCATTTCCCCTCAAAGAAAGCACAGAACCCACCTGGAAAGTATGTTTTAATACAATAGACTGGTTCCGCCCACTGAAATTTCTGGTAAGTTTGCCCCCTCTCCCCTTGGATTTCAGTGGTGTTGGGGGGGGAGGAAATAATTGCTCTGGAAAGTGGGAAGAGGTTGAGGTTTTGGGCAACAAAACAATCTCTGGTCAGGCTTGCACTTTCAGCCAGTATCCTAGGTGTTTTTTTGGAAAATGAGTAAGGAATGACCATTTTTTGTTTTGTTTTGGGGTTTCCTGGATGTTTGCCTCCATTACTGGAAGCTTGACACTTGGCAAAAGGGCCTGTCCTTCCGTGCCTTTTAGATTACTCTGCTTTCTCTAAGATGGGCATGTTTCAGATGTGTGGACTTCAACTCCCATAATTCTTAACAATGGCCATGCTGGCAAGGGAATTCTGAAAGTTAAAAATCCACACATTTGAAGAGTGTCCTAGTTGGGGGTGCGTTCTTTTACAGGGCATCCTAGAGCTGATGGTAAATTTTAAGAATCTGAGATTGGAAGCTTGATTGACAACAGGTAGTCCTCAGCTTGCAACCTTTTGGGTTAGTGACCCTTCAAAGTTACAATGGTACTGGAAAAAGTGATTTATGACCATTTTCCACACTTAGGACCATTGCAGCATCCCCATTTTGTGATCAAACTTCAGATGGTTGGCAACTGGCTCATATTTATGGTGGCTGCCGTGACCTGGGGGCTCAGTGATCATATTTTGAGACCTTCTGACAAGCAAACTCGATAGGGAAGCCAGATTCATTTTACAACCGGATTACTAACTTTTAACAAACTGCCGTGATTCACTTAACAATTGTGGCAAGACAGGTTGTAAAATGGAGCGAAACTCACATAACACATGTCTCACTTAGCAACAAAAATGTGGGGCTCAGTTGTGGTCCCAAGTGATGGTTCACTCTTTGCAGTGATGGTGAACCTTCTGGAGAGCGAGTGCCCCAAAATTGGCCCCGCCCCTGTTCCGCCCCCAGCCCGCCTCCTGCCTTGCCTGCCTGCAGGCCTACTCACCGCCTCCAGGGCCCACCACAGATCGCCCAGGCAGCCCAGCAGCGCCATGGCAGCCATGCCCTCTGCCCACACCCCGCAACATCAACTGTGCGCGATGGGGCATGAGGGCAGAGTCTTGTCTACGCTGCCTGGCTGCCATGTCCTTGACTGCGCTGCTCCGTGTGGGCCATGCTCGGGGGCGACTCTCCTCCAAGGGGGCTGCTGGTGAGGAAGGGGTCGTGGGAGGGTGAGGCTGGGACAATGGCACGTGTGCCCACAGAGCAAGAGCTCCGAGTGCCAACTCTGGCACGTGTGCCATAGCTTCGCCACCACTGACTCTTTGTGATCACATACATTTTCTCCAGATGATCTGTCCCTAACCTGGCCTTTTAGGTTTACCAACAGTGCACTTGTCACCACTGTAACTGAGTCTATCCACAACTGCTGCTGGTCATCCTCTTCTCTTTCCTTCCACCTTTCCCAGCATTGGAGTTTCTCCAGAGATATCTGGGTCTTTGTTTAATAAAGTAGGATAATTTGAGCCAGGTCATTCGTGCCTGAAGGGAGAACTCTGGGCTGATTTATTCAATGACCCATTGGTTGGTTTTCTTGTCTCAGGAGTCTTCTCCAACACCAAAGGTCAAAAGCATCAATACTCTTTCCATTTTGCTTCTTCAAAATCCTTTTGCTTCCATAGAGTTTCTGGAGGAAGTGAATTTAGAACGAGAGATATATAGAGAAACAGTTTTGTCTTTTTCTATGCTAATTGGCTTTTATAATTTGCAAATACCTTGAACTTGAACTTAAACACACATACCTCCTGTCCCTTATGTTACGTTGGCACTGCTCTTTCTGTTTGCAAAAGGGGGGGTGGATTGTGGGGGAAAGGAGAAATGAGATATTTCTTGAATGGATCCTACAAACAAACCAAGACTCGTTTTTTATTGTCCCAAGTGCAGAACACAGAATAATAGATTTAAATTAGAGAAAGTTCCAGCTGAATTCGGGGGGGGGGGAAGGATTGTAATAGTAATAAAGTTTGGTAATGGGCCCAAATTCTAAGGAAAACAGTAAATCTCCTTCCTTGCATGTGCTCAAATGAAGGTTCCCAAGATGTTTTCATTTAAATCTCTGTCCCTTGCAGGAGCTGACAGCTACTAGAAGAAATGGCTTGGTTTTTTTTTTTTTTTTTTAAAAAAAACATGCTAGACAAAAGAATGAATTGTTTGGGTTTGCACATTTTGCTAAATGATGATAATAGTTTGCTAGGTGATGATTTGTGAACACAGCTTTGGCGATTTGTAAAATGTATTGATGTGAAGCCAGGCAACATGGTTTATTCAGTACAGCCTGAATAAGCAGGGTTTGAACACAGCCATTGATCTCTGAATGTCAAGTTAATAGTTTCACAGAAAAACTGTTGCTATCACATTGTAAACTTCCTAGAGGTGGGCAACAGGATGTCCTTCTTATCGGACATCTTGTCTGATCTAGCAAGACTCCTTCATGGGGAAGATTAGAATTCAGATTAACAGGATAGTATCTTGCTTATTCAGACAGCATAGCCGTGATTGTTTAAGATGAAGGACTGTGGCTTGGGGAATCTGCAGATATACCTGCTTGGTTAAGGAAGAATTTGGGATCAAAAATTCCTCCTTGGCTTAATTCTCTAAAATCCTGCCCATTTTAAGATTTGGGCATTTTGCTTTTCTTCTCGCAGTCATCTAGAAAGACTGGCGTATTATTCACACTCATTTTTCTTTCCTTACTGTTCAGCTACAGTGGCTACACAGGGGATGTTCTTGGCTTCGTTGCCTGTTTACAACAAAACCTCTTGACAGCAACAAGCGCCAGCCGGCCATAAAGCGTCTGGGCACAGTGGCTCAGATCCTCTTTGCCATCATCCCAGTCCGACTTCAGTTGGCCCTTGGCTTTTTACATACCGTGTGCCAGAGTATTGAAGTTGAAGGTAAGTCAGGAAAAGACCAGTGGGGAAATGGGATATGGGTTTTTTTCCTCCTTTTTCCAAACTCTAGAAATGCTAAAAAGTGTAACCAATAATTTTGTAAGCTATATTAGGTTGGGATAGTCAGCAACGGCACATAAACAGCTTGCTTTTCTCCCTTCGTCTGGAATGTACACACTCCTGGTGGTTGCTGGGACTAGGCCAGTGGTGGTGAACCTATGGCACGTGTGCCAGAGGCAGCACTCAGAGCCCCAGCCCTGCCTCCCCCTGAAGCCCCCTCCTCACCAGCAGCCCCCTGGAGGAGAGTCGCCTCTGGGCATGGCCACGCAGCCAAAAACATGACAGCCGGGCAGCAGGGACAAGATTCTGCCCTCGCGCCCCATGGTGCGCAGTTGATGCTGCGGGGCGCGGGAGGAGGGCATGGCTGCCATGGCGCTGCAGGGCCACCTGGGCAATCTTCTGTGGGCTGTGCAGGCAGTGGGTGGCCCTGTGGGGGGTGGGGTGGGGTTGCGGGTGGGGTGGGGGGGGCAGAGTGGGGGCTGGGTGGGAGCAGGGGCAGTTTTTGGGCACTCGGTCTCTAAAATGTTCGACATCACTGGACTAGGCCTAGCAGTTTTCTAGGCAAGGTTTTTAGAAGTGGTTTGCCATGCCTCCTTCTCAGAGCTGAGAAAAATGACTGGCCCAAAGTCACCCATCTGGCTTTGTGACTAAGGCGGGATATTCCAATATTTGAGAGGCTGTCACAAGGAAGAGGGGGGGGTCGACCTATTTTCCAAAGCACCTGAAGGCAGGACAAGAAGCAACGGATGGAAAGTAATCAAGGAGAGACCCAACCTAGAACTAAGGAGAAATTTTCCTGACAGTACAATTAGTGAAACAACTTGCCTCCAGAAGCTGTGGGCACTCCAACACTGGAAGTTTTAAAAAGAGATTGGACAACCATTTGTCTGAAATGGTATAGGGCGGGGGTAGGCAACCTTGGCTCTTTTATGACTCGTGGACTTCAACTCCCAGAATTCCTGAGCCAGCCATGTTGAGGGGAAAGGGAGTGGTTTTCAAGCTGAGCCATGCTGGCTCAGTAATTCTGGGAGTTGAAATCACGAGTCATAAAAGAGCCAAGGTTGCCTACCCCTGGTATAGGGTTTCTGCCAGAGCAGAGAGTCAGATTAGAAGACCGCCAAGGCCCCTTCCAGCTTTGTTATGTCATGTTATGACTAGAACACATGATCCCCTGGTTTCTAGCCTAGTGCCCTTAATTACATCACTTAACCACACCCAATTATTGTAGTGCTCTCCCTCCTGTGTAAGCAAGGCCAAATTGCTGTGCAAACAGCAAATCTTCATGATGTTATCAAGACCTGCATTCTTTATTATGTAGCATCCTCCCTGTGTCTAAAGAAAGCTTTGAAAAGTATGTCAGTGTCCTCCTGTTGTGTGCTGCATTGAAGTATAAAGATAATAAACTTAGCTTTTTCCTAGTGTTAGAATCTCACAAGAACACAAAAGGGTAATTGTCATGGTATCTGTGCTATTGGTAAGGTATTTTATTTGGGAAATTTATATGGCCGCCTATTCTTTTACAGCCACTCTAGGCTGCATAGAAGCAATAAAAACAGTATAGAAAGTAAAAAATAAACAATAACCTCCTTCCGCATCAGCCCCTAGTGACAACACATAGTCAAATGAGTCATTTGATTAGCTCCATCGCACTCTGGGTCCCTCAGGCCCGCTGGCAAAACCAAGTCTTCAGGGCCTTACCAAAGAGTGTCAAAGTGGGGGGCAGTCTAATTTCTGAAGGATATTCCAAAAGGAGAGAGCTACCATAGAGAAGGCCCTTCTTCTGGGTCTCACCAGATGTAACCGCCCTTAGGAGACGGCCTGCAGCATTCCTTGCCTATTGACTAGGTATTGCAATTTTTCTCCAAGCAGGCCTTCAGAGATGGTATTCTCTACTTCTTTAACTTAATGATAGTAAACCATTTCTCAATTAATCTCAGAATAGGACATCATTGATGGATAGAAGTTTTATGGTGCCTTGAAATCATGACTCCCAACTTTGTTGGTTGGCAGCCTGGTGATTAATAACTTAATAAAAGTTTTTAAAATGTGGTACTCTCTAGTCCAGGGGTCTTCAAACTTGACCCTTTTATGACTTGTGGACTTCAACTCCCAGAATTCCTCAGCCAGCATGCCTGGCTGAGAAATTCTGGGAGTTGAAGTCCACAAGTCATAAAAGGGCCAAGTTTGAAGACCCCTGCTCTGCTCTTTTGATTTTTTTAAAGCTGAGGTTTTCCATCACAAAGTTGATTTTTCGCAAGGCAACTGGACTTTCTTGGTTTTTTTTGAAGACATTTCGCTTTTCATCCAAGAATATTCTTCAGCTCTGACTTGGATGGTGGGGAATGGAAGGAATGTCTGCAAGGAATATAAATCCTTCCATTCCCCACTATCCAGTCAAAGCTGAAGAAGATTCTTGGATGAGAAGTGAAATGTCTTAAAAGAAAAACGAAGTCCAGTTGCCTTGTGAAAAAGCACCTTTGGGATAACTATGACTTGGATGATTGAGAATCTCCGTAGACACTTAAAGGCAAAGTTGCCCGTTTGTGTCCTCCGTTGGACGAGGCTCTTCTGGATGATGGAGTAACAAAGTCTAGGTCCAACTGTTTTTGACCCAGTATGACATGCTTTTGATTTTATCCAGTAGGTTCTTTCCTCAGCCTTACTTTGGGACATTAGTGGGTGCAAAAATCACCTCTGTAGTAATAGTAGTAGTAGTAGTAGTAGTAGTAGTAGTAGTAAAGTTGGAAGGGACCTTGGAGGTCATCTAGTCCAACCCCCTGCTCAGGCAGGAAACCCTATACCATTTCGGACAAATGGCTGTCCAGTCTCTTCTTAAAAACTTCCAGTGTTGGAGCATTCACCGCTTCTGGAGGCAAGTTGTTCCACTGGTTAATTGTTCTAACTATCAGGAAGTTTTTCCTTAGTTCTAAGTTGCTTTTCTCCCTGCTTAGTTTCCATTCGTTGCTTTTTGTCCTGCCTTCAGGCGCTTTGGAGAATAGCTTGACTCCCTCTTCTTTGTGGCAGTCCCTGAGATACTGGAAGTCTGCTATCATGTCCCCCCTCGTCCTTCTCTTCATTAAACTAGACATATCCAATTCCAGCAACCGTTCCTTATATGTTTTAGTCTCCAGCCCCACAGCACTCTTTTTCTTCCCTTGCAGAGACATTGAAATCGCCTGGCACGCCTTCTAAGAGGGGGAGTAAAAGGAAGACGGAAGATGTTAAGCTGGATGAGCCCCAGTGCTGGATAGAAACAATCCTGAAAGACCTTCCAGATAATGATGATTCAGAGGATCTCACCTATGAGGTACTGTGACCCTAAAAGTCCTGGCTCCAGCCAAAGAGCCCTGCTACCCAACATCCTTTGCTTCTAAGGTCCATCTGAGAGTCTCCAGGAAGGTGGCTACTACTACTACTACTACTACTACTACTACTACTACTACTACTAATAATAATAATAATAATAATAATAATAATAATAATATTTGGAAGGGACCTTGGAGGTCATCTAATGTTGAAGGCCCTCAAACCTTTTCTCCTGAGACTCCCTGGCAGAATTTGGTAGTAGGTGGCCTTCAGACACAAAGTCTTCATCAGCCTCTCTTACACTTCAGATTCGGATTGCAATAAAAATATTTATTTCACAGGTGTAATCATCAGGGAAACCAGAAAAAAGTATAATTTAGAAATCTGTTTTCTTGCATTTTCTGCCTGTTCTTAATAAGCGTGCCATTTTGTAGAAGAAATGAGTTGTATCTTCTGTATAACATCTCTCTGATTGTTGGAATATCCCCCACACTCTTTATAGTTATAATGGGAAATAATTGAGCAGAGAACAACATTAGCAAAATGGTTTTTTTTTTTTTTTTTGGTACAGGTAGTCACTTAGAGTCACAAATGGACCAGAATTTCTGTTGATAAACAAGGTGGTTGTTAAATGAGTCATGCCTGATTTTACAACCTTTCTTGGCATGGTTGTTAAGCAAATCACTAAGTACATCATGTGGTCATTTAGCAAATCTGACTTTCCAACTTTGCTTGTCCTGAGCTGGCTGGGAAATTTGCAAATGGTGATCACATGATCCCAGGAGGCTGCAACTGTTGTGAATGCACACTGGTTCCAAGCACCTGACTTTTGATCTTGTGAACCTGGGGATGCTGGGACAGTTGTAAATGGAAGGACCTAATTGTAAATCACTTGGTTCAGTGTCATTGTAGCTTTGAACGGTCAGTAAACAAGTGGTTGTACATCAAGGACTACCTGTAATTCTAAATGAAAGTTTACTGAAGTATTTAGAAAGTGCATTATGCTCAGCTGTAAATCGTGGGTTATGTTCCACAAACCCAGCCAGTGGATGATCAGCTTATTCTGGTTGTGTGTACTTGGCCAATTGGATCAATTCAGTACACTATAATTAAGCTTCCTATGAGTTGGTAAAATGTGCGAAGTAGCCAGGCAAGTAGCCCCAATTTTCTGGCATAGTCCCATAGTCCCATACTCAAGCATTTAATTCAGGCCTGGTTTATAAATTGCTCTGCATTAACATGTTTTTAATATTTTGGCTTAGCACTATGTACTAAGATTAGCCAATTATGATTTCTTTAGCAAAATCTGGGATAGCAGAACGTTTGAATCCAGACTGAGACACCTTATTTTCTTGGGGAGAAATAAATGATTAATTTACAGTTAGAACAATTGATCAGTGGAACAGCCTGCCTCCAGAAGCTGTGAATGCTCCAACACTGGAAGTTTTAAAGAGAGACTGGACAGCCATTTGTCTGAAATGGTATAGGGTTTCCTGCCTGAGCAGGGGGTTGGACTAGATGACCTCCAAGGTCCCTTCCAACTTTATTATTATTATTATTAATACTACTATTACTATTATTACTATTATTACTATTAAATACATATACAGTTTGGGCTTTTTTATGAATAACATGTTACTATTAAAAGAAGAGAACGTTGTTCAAGGTTGAGGCTACCTAACTGGGTAATGAAACATCTGCAAGCAAACAACCAAACTCACAGAGCACCAAAAATTCCACATGTTCCTACTTAGTTACTACACTTGCTTGTGCAATTGAGTGATTTGAACTTTTTTCGGAGAACAGGTCTTGTAAATATATCTCTTTTCTACCAGCTCACCAAATCAGAAACTGACAGTGAGGAATATAAGTCGCAGAATGACACCGAGGGTGATCTGGAGTATGAAGAGAAAGATGGTTTGCTGATACTGAAGGAAGATCCAGTTTCACCGGTATTTTTTTAAGCACATTGCCTTCTTTTAGCAACGTGTGCTTGGGCTCAAACCCTGCACACCCCCTGTTTACAGGTAGGCCTTGACTTATGATCTACCTGAAAAAAGTTATGACCCTGCTTCAAAGTTCTGACGGTCACTGCACACACACGCACCCCTAGTCATACAATCGCATTTTGAGCACTTGGTAACACAGCCATTTGCAGCACCCTGCAGTCGCATGACCACAGTTTACGACAGTTTAGCAAAACTGTGCCACTGCGAACAATGGGTTCACTTATCAACCACAGTGCAGTGTCACATGGCATATGACTCTGTTTTATGCCTTTTTTTGCCAGAAAACAGCATTTACTTCAGTAAACCATAGCATTAGTTTAGCTATTGCAAAAGAGATTGTAAAATTGGGTCAGTCATGTGGGTGACCTTCTTTTTTACAACTGTCACGACTTAAGACCTTAATGGGCAGGTTACATTACAATTGTAAGTCGAGGCTACCTGTACAGGAGTACCCAGCCATTCCTCAGCTTGATCGTCTTCTCCAAGCATGGAGAAACTTGTGATTAACTTCTGACTCTTATGCATTTCCACTCTTACAGCAGGGTCAAAATGGAGAGGGCACTGCAGCAGAAACACCCCAAACAGCAGATGCTAGAGAAGAACTAGTGGCATCACAAATATCTGGGGATGACAACAAACATCCAGAGCATCATCTTCTGATGAGCAGCGGCACCTACTTCCGAAAGAGCTTGGAAAGTACAGAAATCGTGGCCACATCCATCCAAGGCAGTGACATAGTTGATAGCAATGACTACGAAGAGATTTCGACATAAGCCGGTTGCCCTGGTAAGGATTTTCTCTTTGCTTGCTAGAATCAAAGGCTCCCTTCATCTGTGAGGACCTCATGGAGTGACTTTGAGCCAGTCACCATATCTCAGCTCAGAGAGAGATTTGGGCATATTAAACCCAGAAGAGAGAACAACAAGCTATAACTTTGATCTCATGGAGGAAAAGTGGGTTACAAATCTAACATATGTATCAACCCCTTTTCTTTCTTTCTTAAACAAAGACCATCTTTTCATGAAAATGATGTATAGGTAGAAGAGAATATTTGTAGCTTAGAGTTAAACTGTGGAGCCCTTAATGCTTTCTGAGCTTAGCGGTTTTCTTGCAGACATTTCATTAGCAAACTAGGTAACTTAATTGTCAGTCCTAACACTGACAATGTTACCTAGTTTGGTAACGAAATGTCTGCAAGAAAACCACCAAGGTCAGAGGGCACCAAGGACCCCACAAATGATGTACCGGAAGGCATTATTTTAGCGAATCTGTTAGCAAAAACTGTATGCAGTAGGGAAAATGCACCTGTGGAGAAATGGGTGATAAAAATGTTAGGGTGAAGTTTGGAGGGGGGTGTAGGGGGAGAAATCCTACAATTTGAGCCAAAGTTGACTAAGCAAAAAAAAAAAAATAAGATGTTAAGAGCACCCTAATTTAATATATCCATCCATCCCTTCAGCCCATCTTTGACTCCCATGGCATTTTTTAAAAAATCCAATTGTTCCCCTTAGCTCAAGTCAACCTGCCACTTCTAAATTAAAAGCGATGCTTTTTTTTCCATTCCTGCATCTGTCTCCTATCCATATTTGGAAAATATATTCCTGATCCTGCAGGTGTTACCTTTGACATATATGTCATACATTCACCATCAGTGACCTAGAACCAAAAACGTTATGCATGCAATGCAAATGGATGTGCTTTCCCCCAAATGGTGCAGAAACCTACTACCTAAATTTGTTTTTACACTATTTATTTCTTAATGTATGTTTTTATATCTATGGTTTTTAGTCAATTGTTGTGCATTTCCCAGAGTCTCTTTTTGTGAGATGGGCAGCTGTACAAATTCGATAAATTTGTCCCTTTAAAACAGTGGTTCTCAACCTGTGGGTCGGGACCCCATTTGGGGTCAAACGACCATTTCATGGGGGTCGCCAAACAAGGCTGTCCGTCATTTTTTCCCCTTTTTCTTTGGCCACACCCCTCGTACCCGGTGATGTATAAGTGGTTGGGGGTCACCACAACATGCGGAACTGTATTATGGGGTCGCGGCATTAGAAAGGTTGAGAACCACTGCTTTAAAAAGACCTTGAAATGCTGTACAATAAATGAATTTAATTTTTTTCTCTTTCTAGATTAATTAGAATTTTCGATGACTGGCTGAAAAATTTCAACTTTTGTGTCTAAGCTGCTCTTCCTTTTCTGTGCTGCTGTTGCATGGAGAAGCTATTTCATAATTGTTCGTTTTTCTATTTTAAAATTTTGCAATAAAGCTTCATTTTTCATATTTATATATTGGACAATTTGCCTGATTCTTTTCAAAGATAATTTCGTGAAACCTAAGAGCCAGAAATTCTGATCAGCATGTTTCTGTCTTTTAGAACCATCTTCTCATATTCCTCCAACTGCAACAAAAAAATGATACAAATCATTTTCAGAGTATATACCCATGATGAAGATTTTCTTTCTGAAAAGAGCCAAAATTTCTCCTCTAAGGCAATATTACCTATTCTTTTCCTGATACAAATTTTGGCATATGAATTGCAGATAGTTCTTGACTTACCACTGTTCATTTAACAGTGGTTTAAAATTAGGATGATCTCGGAAAAAGTGCTGAATGTAATAATAATAATAATAATAATAATAATAATAATAATAATAATAATAATAAATAAAAAAGTTGGAAGGTATCTTGGAGGTCATCTAGTTCAACCTCCTGCTCAGGCAGGAAACCCTATACCATTTCAGACATATGGCTGTCCCGTCTCTTCTTAAAAACTTCCAGTGTTGGAGCATTCACGGCTTCTGGAGGCAGGTTGTTCCACTGGTTAATTGTTCTAACTGTCAGGAAGTTTCTTCTTAGTTCTAGGTTGCTTCTCTCCTTGATTAGTTTCCATCTGTTGCTTCTTGTCCTGCCTTCAGGTGCCTTGGAAAATAGCTTGACTCCCTCTTCTTTGGGGTAGCCCCTGAGATACTAGAATACTGCTATCATGTCCCCCCTTGTCCTTCTCTTCATTAAACTAGACATACCCAATTCCAGCAACCGTTCCTTGTCTAAGGAAATCCTCAATCTTCCAGGTCATGGTTATCTCAAAGGTGCTTTTCAAAAGGCAACTGGGCTTTCTTAGTTTTTTTTTTCCCTTGAAAATGTTTTGCTTCTCATCCAAGAAGTTTCTTCAGTTCTCTTCAAGTTCAACCTGAACTTGCATTTACAACCATCATACTATCCTGCAACCGTATGATTGCAATTCAGGCACTTAGCAACTGGCTCACATTTACATCCAGATGCGGCATCCTGCAACCACATGATCGTGATTTGCAGCATGCAACATTTTGCAACAGGCTAAGCAAAAAAAAAACACCAACCCATTTGGCTTAATAAAGTCTTTTGTTCCCCAAAAGTTAGCTGGGGAGTTCTGGGAATTGAAGTCCACGTATCTTAAAATTGCTGAGGTTGCGAAGGACTGTTCTAATCCAAAGGTTGGTGTAGAGCAAGATAATTTACATCCTAGCCCCTTTCTTGTGAATCCTAAAATTATTGATTTGGGGGGATGCAAAAACTTCTGAATAAAGGCAGTGTGATTTCCTACCAGTTTGTGTTAGGAGATAAAATAGGTCAGTGATGGCGAACCTTTTAGAGACTGAGTGCCCAAACTACAACCCAAAACCCACTTATTTATCGCCAGGTGGGCGTGGCTGTGGTGGTCATGGCAGACTGAGTGGGTCTGGCCAAGGTGGGTGTGGTCACCTCAATGTTGCTTGTGGGAAGGGATGCCTGTGGGGGCAGGGTTGGGGGAGATCCAGGGGATCTCAAGCAGGTGGGGCGGTGGGCAGGAGGCTCATCTTGCGGGGTGAGGCAAGGCAAGGCAGGGTGGGGGTGCCATTGTCGCTCAGCAAGGCGAGACAGGGGCTGGGGTGGCTGCTGCCTGAAACCATTGGGTCCCGCACACAGAGGCCAGCGAGCGCATGGGGGCTGACAGTGTCCATCAGCAGCCACAGCCTGCCGGCCCCTCGACTGGCACACTCTGGGGTTCCGCAGTCTGCTGCCAGAAGTTCAGAGAAACCACCTCTGAGCTGGGCAGCTGGCTGACAGCTGAGGAGGTGATGCAATGGGTCGTGCCCAGAAAAAGGAGAGCATGCGAGGCCAGGAGGGATGGGATGGGAGGGAGGGAAACCAGCCATACTGGGATGCATCTGGCCACGTGGGACCTCGGCGAGTTAGCAGGGGGCTGGTTGAAGAGAGATTGTTGCCATCTCCATGGCATGGCGTGCATGCCCACAGAGAGGGCTCTGAGTGCCGCCTCTGGCACGCGTGCCATAGGTTCGCCACCAGTGAAATAGGTCAAGCTTCAATACAGACAAAAATGTCATTTATACCACAGATCCCATTCAGGCATGGTCCAACTACCATTAAAATTAAATGCTGGGCTAACAACAATTAAAATTACACCAGAGCATTGATATCGTATATACCTGAATATATTTACTGCTATAGTAAGAATAACAATGTTTGATGCAGTTCAAAAATGTAGAAACACTACACCTCTAGAGGAATCCTACACATTATAACCCTTGACTCTAAAATTTATAAAAGCATGTCACATTTGCTCTTGTTTATGAGTTTGCATACTATGGTATTATAATGCATGGGTTTCATTTAAAAGGTTTACCATGAGAGATTATGAGGTCTAAATAGGAAGAATCAACAGATGGCAGATAGCTTCTCTAATAAACGGCAGCTTAAAACAGGCTGCAAAAACATTTAGGAAGTGTGGGAAGTCAGGTTCCCCCCCATCGAGAAGGAAATATTAAAAGGGCAGAATATTATATTTCCTCAACGGATCTTAAAGAGGCAGAAAAGCATGCCCAGTTTTTCTTAATAGCCCCAAGTCTCCCTCCCCCAAGCAGAAACCAGCTCTGTAGAAATTCAGATGTAATAATCCATTCAGGAAGGTTGGAGCCCTCCATCTAGAAGCTTAGGAAGACAAAGACACCTAAAATCTACATACCCCACCCAAATTCTAAGGACATAATAGGATTAACTCACAGATGCCAAAGGGGCACATTAAGACTCAGGTCAAAGTACATGACATAGGAAATACAAAGCCTCAAACAGGAACAGGAAACAACTCCAAACAAAAGCCCAAGAGGGTATAAAAACCCACTCCCTTCTACAAGTGCTCTCTCTTTTCTTCCAGAGTCATCTTTCTGTCTGGCTCTCCTCTTCAATAAACTACAACCTTCTTTCTAAAGCTGTCACCATGTTGTTTATTCCCGGCTTGGACTGGACCCCAATGAAGACTTTTCCTTCAACAGAAGAAAAGATTTGAAACATACAAAGAGACTCCACACTAATAAATATCTAGAAAATCCTTTTGCAGTTTCCAAGATTTTGTACAACATCCCTGGAGAGTGAAAAGCAGCATGGTTGCTGTAAGGCGTCAGGATCCAAGCCCACCCCATCCCCTGCCTTTTGTATAGATATTAATACCATACATATGTATAAAGTGGTAGGACATCCATCACAATGTTGTGGTGGCCATCTTGCCTATTTTGACACACTCCATGAATACTCCTAGCCCTCATTCTTGCACTAAAACCCCTTATAATAGCCTGGGTAGTTCTTGATTCCTTGAACATGCCTGTAGCGGCAATGCAAAACACCATTGTCATGTCAAGAGGTTTTGTGACATATTTGCATTTCTCCTTCATATTAAGAAATGTCTAAAGGTTTAGAGCTTATTCAGAACTGGCTTGCTGGTTTTTCATTCTTTACCGCTGAACAAAGGAGAAAGGGGTTGAAACTAATCAACTAAAGAATATTATGTTGTATATTGACCTATTTTATAAGGGCAGTTATAAAGCAGTTAAATGATTATGTTTAAACAAGTCTCCAATCATTTGTGTATTGTTACAAGCCTGCACTTTAGGTGGCAAATAGTGCTTTAAATTCATTGGCTGCCACCTAGTGGCAATCCGGTATAAATAGAAGCCAAGCGGCTGTTAGAGTTGCTTCTATGTTGATTCAATAAAACAACTGTTACTTTCACTCCAGTCTCTTCAATGCCTCACAGATCCCAGTATATAACATATTAGTTTCTTGTTTAGAAACTATTCAAGGAGAGAAGCAACATGGAATTAAGGAGAAACTTCCTAACAGTGAGAACAATGAACCAGTGAAACAGCTTGCCTTCAGAAGTCGTGGGTGCTCCATCACTGAAGGCTTTTAAGAAGAGACTGGACAGACATTTGTCAGAAATAGCATAGGGCAGGGATCCCACGCCCCAGGCCACTACTGGGCCATGGCCTATTCAGAATTGAGCCGTATGAGTGACTGGCCAGAGGATGCATGCATGAGCAGCTCAACTTGCATGAGCAGCAGGCCAGTTAGCAGTCGAGTGAGTATGTACTGCCCGCTGCTCATGCCAGCCCGCTGCTCGCACACAGACTGTGTATTTGCGTGCCCAGTTCCCCTTTCTCCCCCCCCCCGCCAGGCTGCCAAGCCGCAAAGGTTAGGGACCACTGGTATAGGTCTTCTGCTTGAGCAGGGAGTTGGACTAGAAGACCTCCAAGGTCCCTTCCAGCTCTATTGTGATTGGGTAATCTTCATGTAGCTTCAAAACTTTCCTCACTGTGAAAGTCTCAGACTTTTGATTCCCGTCTCAAAGACATGTGCCAGCCAGAAAAAGGCAGGACTTGCAGTTTCCTGACCATGGTAGGGGCGTGAAATTGAAAGGATTTTATTGTACTTATGATTTTAGTATGTTTAAGTTTGACATTAGCATTTATTTTATATATAGTAACCATTTTATATTGATAATTATAGTGTTATCATGTCATCATTGTTTTGTTATTTTGTAATCATTATTTTGTAGTTAATTGCTTGATCAGATGCTTTATATATATATATTGGAAAAGTAAGGGCTTCATGCTTTAGGTACAGGTGATAGCTTATATGAAAAGAGCACAGTAAGGGGAGGGGGAAAAGGAGTTACGGATGGAGCCTGGGTTGCTGTGTATGAGTCATCATCTAGGAATTGTTTTTTTGTGCCATCTTATGCCTGGTACCAAGACCTGATCTCTTTGTTCTGAAAAGGTATAAAAGGTGGAAGACATCTTTTCTGGTTGTTGCCTTCGTCTCTCTACCAGCCACGAAGAGAGATGGGGTCACCCAACTCTGTTTTGATCAAAATAAAAGTTGTTTTGCTTGCTGAAACCTCGGCTCAGGAGTTTCTTTGGCTCTTTTAAATTCCTGAGTAATGCTGGGGCAATTGTGAGGTTAAGTGGAAAACCTTACATCCTGGCGCCCAACGTGGGGCAAGCCACAATGGCTCTCCCCTCAAATCTGGAGACCCCTGTTAAGGTCCCAGCGAGCCTTCAATTCTCAGCAGGACGAAACCAGCGGCGACTGAATTGTGAGTCTTAGAGCGCTCCCAAGTGTTTGACCTGGAAGATTCTATGCTTCATCGTCGATGGTGGGGTCCGTGTCTGATGAACCTGAACGCCCGAATTCAACGAGGTTTCATGCTTCTCTACTGACGGGAGAAATTGCAACAGGCGCCTTGGTAAGTAAAAGAAATAAAAAAAAGCTTTGGAAATCCTGGAATAAGGCAGGAGGTTGATCTCTCTGACTATCCTCTACAGATAAGCATAAAAATAAATGAATAAATGTAAGAAAAGAGGAAGCCAAGCAACTGTCTTCTAATACAGGATAGAGTGAGTTAAGAAAAATAATTGAATTGGTATGTAATTTTTTTTTGCAGAGGTTTTGATAATTTTGGAATAAGATAGGGGGCTGATCTCCCCGACTAGTCCTCCAAAGGAAAAATTAATTACAAAATTCCAAATTAATTAAGTGAAAAGGGAGGAAGCCGAGAAACTATCTTGAAGTAAAAAGGAAAAAAAAAGAAAAAGAAAAAAAAAAGAGAAGAAGAAAAAAGAGAAAATCGTCAGAGTAATTTAAACAAACAAATTAACTCAAAATGAAATCCTCTGCAAAGTGTTTTGGAAAATTGGGATTTTTCACGTGGCTGTTAAGTTTAACCCTGTCAGACAACGTCTGGTGTCAGAAAACGTCTGGTGGTGCTTTGTGTTGATGTGTGGCCAACTTATTTTATGGGCCCTGGGCAACAACCTTGGCCAAGAGAAGGGTCTGTGCACTTGGATATTATTAATAAGCTTACAGATGTTTTTGCTATACAAGGGCGGATGGATGAAGAATTATATGCAGGCTTTTTCTTTAATTTGAGCATCCGACAGGACATTTTAAAACAATGTGGCCTGTTAGTCCCTCCAAAGGTTTTGAATTTGGTCTGTCCAATCCGCCCAGAAATAAATAAGTTTCAAAAGAAAGCAATTCAAACTTGTCTGAACTCAGCTGCTGCTTCCCCCACAGCCCCCTCTGTCTCTTTTCCGTCCTTGCATTCAGCTGCTGCTTCCCCCGCAGCCCCCCTTCTCTCCGTCTCTGAAGACCAAGATCCTGATGAGGGATCCTCCTCTGCTGCACGGATTCAAAGCCCTTCTCACACGAGACAGGGCAAAGTTTATGCTAAAACAAAACACTTGGAGGAGAAGACAATATGCCCACTGCGACAGATGCCAGCAGCAAATGGAATAATGGTCCTGGTTCACACCCCATTTACCACCAGTGACCTTTTTCACTGGAAAGCTAACTTGCCACCATTTAAAGAATCCCCCCAGCAGTATGTTGATTTATTTCAAAGGATTTTTGTCACCCACAAGCCAACGGTCCCTGATATAGACACTTTGTTATCTGGATTTTGGGGGGCTGAGGACAAACGCCAGGTTTTGAAAAAAAAAAAAAAAAGCCTTAGAGGAATATAGTGGGGGATGGAAGGAAGCCACCAATGATGGACAAAGAGACATTGAACAGTGGCCAGCACCTGAAGCTGTTTTTGTTCCAAGTTTTGAATGTGATTTTAACACTGATGGGAGATATGGTGCCTTACTGAATTTTCACAAAACCATTCTCCATGGCATTAGAACTGGGGTCCCCAAGACTGTTAATTACTATAGAGTGAATCAGATTTTCCAGACAGCACAAGAGAGTCCTACTGATTTTATCAACTGATTAAAAGATGGATTTCGTTGTTATACAGACATTGATCCTGATAGCCCAGGCAGTGAACCACTTTTGAAAATGGCTTTTGTTGCACAAAGTGCCCCCGATATTTGGCGCAAATTGCAAAAATTTGTTTCACCCACTGCTCAAACTTTTGAACTCTTAATACAAACTGCTTTCGGAGTTTCTGCCCAGAGGAACGAGGCTGCAGAGGGGAAGGAGGAAGATAACATGAGGAAGCATGCCCAACTTTTGGCTGTTGCTCTCCAGCCTCGTCAGAATACCCTGGGGCAAGACCAGTGTGCCCTTTTGCAAAGCACAAGGCCACTGGAAAAGTGTATGTCCAAAGAATTGGGGCCACGGACAGGCCCTGGAGGGGAAGGAGAGGATTTCCATCCAATAACAGGGGACCTCCCCCATCCTGGCTGTCCCCACAGGCTGAACCATTCCATCCTAGAATGCAAATGTATGCTAATGACGGCTATTCCTCCCAATACTAATGTGGCTCCAGAGGTCTTGTTTTCTCCCCTGAACCTCTCTTGGAGTTGCAGGTAGGGGGGAGGAACAAAGTTTTTCTTGTAGATATTGGGGCAACTTACAGTGTCTTGCAGCATGCCCCTAAAGACTGTTTGAGTTCTCAGACTACTCCTATTGTTGGTGTCAGTGGGCAAACTGAAATGGCTCCTTGCACCACCCCTTTGTGTGTGACTCCAAGCCAAGGGCCCAAGTTCAACACTCATTTCTGGTTTTACCCCAGGGCCCTATTAATTTGCTGGGCAGAGATTTCCTGGGAAATTGGGAGCAACAATCACTTGTCAACCCCAGGGTATTTCTTTGGATTTTCCAGCTTTGCAAGCTTATATTTGTTATCTGGATGCTAGTGCATCTCCTGTTTCTTTTCCGGATTCCATTTCCCCTGAGGTTTGGTCTTATGGAATTCCAGGATTTGCTCATTATGCTGTCCCTCACCGAGCCTGTTATGTCCCGAGCCTTGCAAACAGCTCGGGCGTTTGCAGGCAGTCCCGGGCAGGTGCAAGGCTGCCCAGGACCAGACAGGCTGTCGCCAGCGCCGTGCGCATGCGCGGGTGCTGGCGCGGGAAAAGTAACACATTTACCTGGGAGTTGCCTATATAAGAGGCTGCGAGCGTTTGGGAAGTTAAGGAAAAGCCATCTACTTGTATGCTGAACGCAGAATAAAGAAAACTGAGAACTCCAACTGCTTCTCGTGTCTGCTTTGCGCCAAGGACTCAACACTGGCGACGAGGGTGGGATTGCCTTACACCGCCTGGAAAGGAAGAAGTGTAAGCTTACCCAAGTGAGTCCTGAGCGGCGGAACGGCATCGACTCGGCAGCTACCCGCCAATCCAGTGCGCATTCGGGGGTAGGCTGGCTGATAGACCCGTCTCCTGAAGATGGCGAAAATCGGAAGGCTTTCGGAGTTCGACGTCTCACATCCAGAGCGGTGGGAGTCATACGTAGCCAGGGTGGAGAACTACTTCAAGGCAAACCAAGTGAGGGAAGAGAGCTTGAAGGCTGCCACCCTGCTTTGTGTTTGCGGTCAAGACGCCTTCGACATCGCAGAAAACCTTGCAGCACCTGTTCCAGTAGAGTCTGTCAGCTACGCAGATCTGAAGAAGCTATTGAAGGAGCACTTCCACCCCAAGATGTCCGTCATCGCATGGCGCCACACCTTCGAGCAGAGGGATCAACGGCCCGGTGAGTCGGCCAAAGAATTCATCGCCGCATTACGGAAGGCCGCCAAGCACTGCGAGTTCAAAGACCTCGAAGAACGACTGAGGGACCGATTCGTGTGCGGGTTAAGGCATCGAGATCTACAACAGAGACTTTTCGCTAAAGAAGAATTGTCCTACCAAGATGCCTTAAGGGAAGTCACCGCAGAAGAAGCAGCAGGCGGCGCTGTCAAGAACATGCGGCCGATCAGAAACAGTCCAGAGGTTGCATCCGTGCACCAGGAAGACGTCCAAAGAAACTCCGAGGAGGATCCGGACGAGGAAGTCGACCGTCTCCACCCCACGAAGAAAGAAAATCAGAAGGGAAGCTCTTCAGCTCCGCTCAAGTGCATCGGCTGTGGAGGTCGCCACAGGAGAACTGACTGCAAGTTCTGCTCCGCTACCTGCCGGGCATGCGGCAAACAAGGACACATTGCAGCTGTGTGTCTGGGCCGACGAAAGGTACAACCTCAGGAAGAACTGCGCCTGAAAGGTACCAGATTCCCCAGCCAGAATAGGGTAGGGTTTTGCGCTTCGCGAAGAAGCATCCTTAGGACAGGCACACACAAGCCCATTAAGAAAAAGCTGTCACTCAAGGTGAAGCTACAAGGGGTTCCATTGTCTATGGAACTGGACACAGGGTCTGCCCTTTCAATCATCTCCTTGCATACATTTAGGAAGATTTGTTCCGGTAGTGGAACTCAGGCCAAGTTAAGGCCTTCTGACATTGTGTTAACAGATTTTCAAAATTCAAGAGTGTGTGTTAAGGGGGAGGCCACCCTTAACGTGCAATACAAGAGTTTTGAAGGTCCACTAGACGTATTAGTAGTAGGGGGTGAACGAACGAGTCTCATAGGACTCGATTGGTTTGAGGCCCTGGGGATACACGTCACAGGACTCAACAGTTTACAAACACTCGACCTACAGGAAGTCTGCAAAGAATTTGCAGATGTTTTCAGCCCCCAGCTAGGCACATTCAAAGGACCCCCTGTGTCCTTAAAGCTAGACCCCACTGTCACTCCCATTAGAATTAAAGCAAGAAGGGTCCCTTTTGCTTTAAAGAGTAAAATTGACACTGAGTTAGACAAACTGATTCAACAGGGAATCCTAGAACCTGTTGATTCCAGTCCTTGGGAGACCCCCATTGTCACGCCTCTAAAGGCAAATGGGGACATTCGCATTTGTGCTGACTACAAATGCACTCTGAATAAGGCATTGCAGCAACATGCCTATCCTGTTCCTGTGGTCAGTCATATTCTGGCCTCCCTCAAGGGGGGGCGCGTTTTTGCAAAGCTTGACCTAGCTCAAGCGTATCAACAGCTGCCTGTTGATGATGATGCTGCTATAGCTCAGACTATTGTGACCCACAGGGGAGCCTTTAAGGTAAAAAGGCTGCAGTTTGGAGTGAATGTCGCTCCTGGGATTTTCCAAAGCGTAATGGAAAACACACTGCGGGGCATACCGGGGGTTTGCCCCTACTTTGATGATGTCTTAATTGCAGGAGACTCCACACACATTCTAGCTGAAAGGCTAAGGGCTGTTCTGTTAAGGTTCAGGAAAACAGGCCTCAAGCTCAAAAAAGACAAATGCAAAATTGGGGTGCCTTCTACTGAATTTCTGGGATTCAAAATTGATGCTGCTGGAATTCACCCTGCTGAATCCAAACTAACTGCCATTTTAGAAGCACCTAGGCCAAAGTCCAAGGCCGAACTTCAGGCCTTCCTGGGTCTCCTGAATTTATACAATTCTTTTCTTCCACATAAAGCTAGTGTAGCTGAGCCTCTTCACAGGCTACTACACAAGCAAGCAGTGTGGCGGTGGTCACAGACGCATGAGGCCTGCTTTAACGAAGTCAAGGCCTTGCTCACTTCTAACAGTGTACTTGCACATTTCAACGAGTCTCTTCCTGTGTGCATCGCGTGTGATGCGTCCCCTTACGGGGTTGGGGCTGTCCTGAGCCACCTCAGGTCTGATGGAACTCAGGTTCCTGTTGCATATTATTCAAGAACATTGTCTTCTGCCGAGCGCAACTACGCTCAGATAGACAGGGAGGCTCTGGCTGTTGTTGCGGGAATTAAAAAATTCCATGATTTTCTATATGGCAGGCATTTCACGGTCTTCACTGACCATAAGCCTCTGCTGGGACTGTTTACCACACGTAAGCAGACTCCCCAAATCATTTCCCCTAGAATGCTTAGGTGGTCTATTTTTTTGTCTGCATATGATTTTTCTTTACTCCACAAGCCTGGGAAAGAAATGGGCCATGCTGATGGCCTCAGTAGACTGCCTCTGCCAGTAGTAGAAGCTGACCCTGCGCCAGCTGTCAACATTCTATCAATCCAAGCCTTGCCCGAGCTCCCTCTTAGTGCCAGGGATGTTGCCGCTGAAACAGGTACAGATCACACACTTTCACGTGTCCGTTCCTGGGTTTTGTCTGGTTGGCCTGAGGACTGCCCTAGTCCTGAGTTTCAGAGTTTCTGGTCCAAAAGGAACAAGCTGTCCCTTTCTCAGGGTTGTTTGCTTTGGGGAAACAGAGTTGTCATTCCCACCTCAATGAGGACTAGGGTCTTGGAATCCCTCCACGAGGGTCATCCTGGCATTGTTCGTATGAAGGCTCTTGCACGCAGCCACTTATGGTGGCCTGGTTTAGATAAAAATATTGAGGCTAAGGTGCATGCATGCCACCTGTGCCAACGATCTCGCCCAGAGATGCCCCAAGCTCCCGTGCACAGATGGGAGGAAACACAGTCCCCATGGTCTAGGGTGCACATTGACTACGCTGGGCCCTTTCAGGGCCAGTTCTTCTTGGTCCTTGTTGACAGCCACTCGAAATGGCTTGAGGTTGTACCTGTCTCATCCACCACCACTGCAAAGACTATTCAGGTACTGAGGGGGATTTTTGCTGCACACGGGCTGCCAGATGTCATTGTGTCCGACACCGGCCCTCAATTCACTTCCTCCGAATTTCAAGCTTTTTTACAGGCTAACATGATTCGTCATGCCACGTCTGCGCCTTTCCACCCGTCCACCAACAGTATGGCTGAACGCATGGTGTGCATCACAAAGGACGCATTGAAAAGACTCAGCTACGGGGACTGGCATCACAGGTTGGCTGACTTTCTCCTTTCTTATCGCACCACACCGTCCACTTCTACAGGGAGAAGTCCAGCTGAACTTCGTTGGGGGCGTCAACTTACTACTAAACTTGACCGGTTGCATCCGGACAGATTGCCTTCATCTACCTCACATCCTAGGGCACCTAGACAACTACTTGAGGGTGCCCCGGTCTGGACTCGCAATTACGGGCCTGGTCATACATGGGTCCCCGCTTCTGTCTCCAGGGTCACGGGTCCTCTATCCTACGAGGTAGCTCTGGACAACGGTCGTGTCCTGCGCAGGCACATCGACCAACTCCGCCCTAGGCAGCATCTTCCAGCTGAGACTCCTGGGTCTTTTCCGGGGGGGAGGGGGACCCTTTGGAGCAAAGGGAAGGGCACGAGTTGCTGCCCATCTCCACTGATGGAGCCACAAACGGCCCATTCCAGGGTTCCGCGAGAGCTCCGAACAAGAATTCTATGAGCCTACCCAACTACCAGGCATCCACGCCTACTCCAGCCAGGGAGTCGCCCCGGGGGCATACTCACTTTCCACACATATCACACAGCACTCCAGTCACGGAGGATACCCGGGGGCATCCCAACAAATCATTCCCCGCAAGAGAGCTGGCACACAATCCCCAAGGTTGGCCTGACCTTACCCCAAATCCTACAGGGGTAAAATCCTTTCAAAATCACGGTATCAAATTTTGATAAAAACTATAGGGCTGTTGTTGTTGGCTGGGAGCTTTGGCATGGAATCTAATACTGGATCCTGTGAAAATTGGCCGCCCTTGGGGTTCTTATTAAGGAGCTTCTGACAGCCTATAAGAGATTTGGATATCATGTTGCTTGGTATGCATGCTTCTTATGCTACGCTTTTAAATCTGTTTGCTTGAACTAATAATAAAACTTAAGATCCCTTTATTTACAGGGGTGTTTATTGTCTCCAGATCCTAAAGAACCAATTTGATCTTCGTCCTGACACTTGGCAAAACAGTGAGATAGGAAGATCATCAGCCACTTTGCTGCAACTGGTTTTGATTCTCCCTGGCTGCTACCAGGAAGGGACACCCTTTCCTGTCTATGAGGGCCTTTATTAGCTCGGTGCTTCTGTAACTCACAGGAAAGGAGGGTGTGATAGCTGTTACAGAAACATGTCGGTGACATTTTTTCCTTTGCATGGGGATGAAACTCTTTCATGGGGGTTGCATCAATCTCTATTTCAAGCATGCTGGGGGACTGGCAGTCCTTGTCCTACATCCTGCGAGATAAATACAGCTGCTTAAAAATATTCCAGAAACATGCCGTGACACTGGGATGTGTGTATCCCTGTGCTATGAGTTCCATTCATGTTTCATACCGAGTCTTTCCTGTGATGTCAGTGAATATCTGGGGCCAAACTGCATATCCTTTAATAGGTTGTTGATGAGAAGAGAGATGCATTTGTAACTCTACTAACCCTCTTTTTTTTTTTTTAACACAGATGTATACAACCTGATCCTTCTGGAAGATTTGTGGAGTCCTCCAATATTTTTTAGATGACAAAAGAGGGAAGAAACCTTACCTGGGGATAAGGCAGGGGAGGATACTTATTGGTAAGATTTATAAACTACCCCTCTCCAGAGGTTGTAGACCTGTGATTCTCAACCTTGGCAACTTTAAACTGTGTGGATTTCATTCCCAGAATTTGCCAGCCAGTGTAAAAAAATCCCAGAATTCCTTAGCAACTTTTAATCAGTTGTGAGAGTTGAATTCCATGCAGCTTCAAGTTACCACATGTGAAAAACACTGTTGGCAAATCTATGGCACGCGTGCCAGATATGGCACTCAGAGCCCTCTCTGTGGGCACACGCACCATCACCGCAGCCCGGCCTCCCCCTACGGCCCCCTCACCAGCAGCCCCCCCAGAGGAGAGTCGCCCCGGGCGCGGCCCGCATGAAGCAGCAGAGCCAAGGACATGGCAGCCGGGCGGCAGGGACAAGACTCCGCTCTTGTGCCCCGTTGCACGCAGATGATGCTGCGGGGCATGGGCAGAGGGCGTGGCCACCATGGTGCTGCAGGGCTCCCTGGGCGATCTGCTGCGGTGGGCCATGGAGGCAGTAGGTGGCCCTGCGGGTGGGGGGGAGTGAAGGGGTGGGGCGGAGTGAGCGAGGTGGGATGGAGTGGTTTTGGGGCACACGGTGTCTAAAAGGTTCTCCATCACTGTTCTAGACAAAGTTTAAATACAATCATAGCATAGTATAACAGAATAACAGAGTTGGAAGGGTCCTTGGAGGTCTTCTAGTCCAACCCCCTGCTCAGGCAGGAAACCCTGTATACCATTTCAGACAAATGGTTGCCCAATCTCTTCTTAAAAACCTCCAGTTTTGGAGCACTCACAACTTCTGGAGGCAGGTTGTTCCACTGATTAATTGTTCTCTCAGGAAATTTCTCCTTAGTTCTAGGTTGCTTCTCTCTTTCGTTAGTTTTCATCAGTTGTTTCTTGCCCTGTCTTCAGGTGGTTTGGAGAATAAGTTGACCCCCCCTCTTCTTTGTGGCAGCCCCTGAGACATTGGAAGACTGCTATCATGTTGCCCCTAGTACAACTATTTCACAATGGCATATCATCACCATAAAATATTGATAATAATATAGATCACGATACACATCTTACTACACCTGTTCGTCTCCAAAGGCCTTCTTAGAAGAGCCATGTCTTAACTACAGGTAGTCCCCGACTTACAACAGGTCACTTAGTGACTGTTTGAAGTTATGATAGACCAGTGGTTCTCAACCTTTTTAATGCCGCGACCCCCAACCGGTCATAACTCAAGGACTACTCAACCGGTCGTAAGTCAAGGACTACTCAACTGGTGGAGCACCGTTTGCAGAATGGGACTTTTGGCGGGCTCAGCAGGGCAGAGACAGCCTGGACAATTCCTATTGGCTTTTGAAAGCCAATAGAATTAGACTCTATTCAAGAGAGTCTATTCTATTGCCTTTCAAAAGCCAATAGAATAAAAGGGAGTAGCACAGCCAAGGAAAAAGGGAAAAAAATGGCCGACTATGTTGTTTGGCGACCCCCGTGAAATGGTCGTTCAACCCCAAATGGGGTCCCGACCCACAGGTTGAGAACCACTGTGATAGACCCAAAATAAGGAGACTTACAACCTGGATCTGAAGTTCTAACAGTTGTCTATCCATTCCGCAGTCACATAACCACACTTAAGCACTCAGCAACATGTCCACATTTACAGCTGTTTACAGCATCCCAAAGGCAGATGACCATGTTTTACAAAGGGATATATAACAAAGCCAGCACTTACTTCCACTTTTTGTGGCAAAACTATGCCATAGTGAACAATGGGTTCATTTTCTGACCGCCATGTTCTCCTAACCACCATCGCATGCTCCATGATAGTCATAATTCAGGGACTATCCATATTCTTCAAAAGGACATAAAAGTGGGGGATCATTCCTGCCTGAATTGGGGAATGGGTGATGGGGAAACAACCACTGATCATTCCCTCTTCTCTGGTTAAAGGAAAAGTCCATCCTTGGATCAAGTTCAGTTCCATGCGGTTAGTTAACACGTTCCTGTAATTTTCTTTCCAACAGTACAGAACCGGATAATCATTGTTGTCTTTTTAGATATTGTCTCAATGTCCTGGTTCAGTAATCTCCCATTCAAATATTTACCAGACCTGAGATTGTTTACCTTTTTCAAAATCAATCCAGGTAATGACATGCTGTCATTTAGCCATGTTTGCTTTTTAACATTAACCATTAACATTAAATTATTATTATTGTAACTAGCTAAATGTATATAATTAATTAATGCTGTGCCGAGGTGGTGCAGCAGTTAGAGTGCAGTACTGCAGGCCACTTTAGCTGACTGTGTTCAGCAGGTCAGCGGTTCAAATCTCACCGGCTCAAGGCTGACTCAGCCTTCCATCCTTCCGGGGTAGGTAAAATGAGGACCCAGATTGTTGGGGGCAATATAAATATATATATATACATTGCTTACTGGTGTACACCGCTTAGAGAGTGCTTGCACTTAAAGCGGTATATAAGTCTCATAAATAAATAAATAAATAAATAAAATAAAATAAAATAAAATAAAGTACTACTAATAATAGATGCTTTAGATGGCATCCCAGAACCTCTGGAGCATTGCTTGAAACACTGTCAGCATTAAGAAAATCCCCATTAGTCAATTGCAAAAGGGAGCTCTATTTGGAACAGCTTACATCCTGCGATAATATATTTAACACCATCAAACACCAACATTTGCCGATAGGTTCTTTGGGAAGGACTCAGTAGGTAGATAAAAATGCCAAATGACTATGTGACCAACCCATATATTAAATTCATATGCTGCCTAACTCCCAGCAACTCTGGGCAGTTTACAATTGTTAAAACCTTTAAAAAAAACAAAGGATACAGAAAATATTAAAACAGTACAAGACAAAGGGACAACAATGGCAGGTGGGTACAAAAAGGAAGAAAGAAGCATCAGTTATCCTCTCCAAAGGCCTCGGTGAAGAGTCAAGTCTTTAGGGTCTTTTAAAATCCCAATAGGTAACCAATAATCAAGTAACCAAACCCTGTGGGGCATAGGGCTTTCTAAGTAGTGACCAGCACCTTGAATCACACCAGAAGCAAACTGGCAACCAGTGAAGCATGTGAATCAGTGGTCTTACACAAGTAATATCAAAGTATGCCTATTACTATCTGCACCACATCATTCTGATCAGCTGAAGCTTCCAGTGATCTTCAAGGTCAGCCCCATGTAAAGCACATTGCAGTAGTCAAGCTATGAGGTGACAAGAGCACAACTGGCACACCAGGTAAAGCTGTGAGAAAGATTTCCTGGCTGCAGCTGCCGCCTGCTCATTAATAGAATAACAGAGTTGGATGGCACATTGAAGGTCTTCTAGTCCAACCCCCAGCTTAAGCAGGAGACCCTATATCATTTCAGATAAATGGTTGTCCAATCTCTTCTTAAAAACCTCCAGTCTTGGAGCACCCACAACTTCTGGTGGCAAGTTGTTCCACTGATTAATTGTTCTGATAGGAAATTTCTCCTTAGTTCTAGGTTGGTTCTCTCCTTGTTTAGCTTCCATCCATTGCTTCTTCTGAGGAGCTGCGAGTCCAGGAAGACATCCAAAATAGGCATCGTCCTCAAAATGGAAAAGTCGTAAACCCATTCAAGGTTAAAGTTGGAATATCCCCACATCTGGGTGGTCCAACCATTTGGTCTCGGTAGGACTAGCTGGAAATGACTCCTCCCTACCCAAACCTCCAGGCACTGGACAGTATCTTAGTAGCCTCACTTGGCCAACGAGGTCAAAAGATGTAATTGGGTGTCATCCATGTGCTGATGCTACCAAACTCCAAACTGGCAGATGACTTCACTCAGCAGCTTCACGTAGAAGTTGAAAAGGAAGGGAGAGAGTATAGAATCCTGTGGCACTCCACAAGTGGGGGGCCTCGGGGTGATCCCTGCCCACCAACCAACACCAACTGCAAGGAAGAAACCCACCATAAAACGTTGCCTGACTCCCAATGTCTCTTAGGAGATTTAAGCCTCTTTCCAGACCCTTCGTAGCTCCTTTTTCTTATTTGTGCGATTCCCAATGAATTATGAATGTCATCACTGGAAAGAAATGTCATATACCGTATATGCCAGCGTATAAGACGACTTCCGGAAGCGCTAAACTCGGCGCCAAAGATGGGGGTCGTCTTATACGCCCAGTCGTCTTATACGCCGGAAATACTGGTAGTTTCCGGCATATAAGACGACGTTCTAGGAAGGCGACTCGGCGATAAAGACGGGGGTCGTCTTATACACCGGGTCGCCTAATACGCCGGCATATACGGTACATTTTGTGGTTTAAGCAGCTACTCACCTGGGCTGACTAGGTTCACTTACTGTGCAAACCTGAGGTTGGTGAAGTGCTCTTTACTGAATATGTCCCATCTGATACCGTACATCATATTAAGCAATATCCGTACAGCACAGTTTACAAAATGCAGTGGGTACACAAATCACACTAAGCTATGGTTTAGTTCAGGGGTAGGCAACCTTGGCTCTTTTATCACTCGTGGACTTCAACTCCCAGAATTCCTGAGCCAGCATGGCTCAGCTTGGAAACCTCTCCCTTTTCCCTCAGCATGGCTAGCTCAGGAACTCTGGGAGTTGAAGTCCACAAGTCATAAAAGAGCCAAAGTTGCCTACCCCTGGTTTAATTAATCCTGGTAGTGAAATAAGCCACCAATACCTGTGATCACGTGATACATTCAGCCATTAAGCATGGTTTACCAGGACACAGAGGATGGATACACACAAAACCACAAATAAATCACATTGTGGCTAAATGAAATACAGATAGTCCTCGACTTACAACTGTTTGTTTAGTGACCATTCAACGTTACAATGGCACTGAAAAAAGTGACTTATGACCATTTTTCACCCTTATGACCATTGCAGCATCCCCATGATTACCTGATCAAAATTCAGATGCTTGGCAACGAGTTCATATTTATGCCAGTTGCCGTGTCTTGGGGATCATGTGAACACCTTTTGCGGCCTTCTGACAAGTAAAGTCAATGGGGGAGCCAGATTCACTTATCAACTGTATTACTAACTTAACAACTGCAGTGATTCGCTCGACAAATGTGGCAAGAAAGGTCGTAAAATGGGGCAAAACTCATTGAACAAATGTCTCACTTAGCAGCATAAATTTTGGGCTGAGTTGTGATTGTAAATTGAGGACTACCTGTACACGAACTATAGCAGTCTAAGATTTCATTTGGAGTCCGTGAGATAACATAATGTTTATTGGCTAGCTATTTCTTCTGATTCTTCTGATTCCTGAGGTAAAATGTTAATTCTGGACGAAAAACCAGATTAGTTTATAAAGGCCTTTGTTCTTAAGCAATGTCGCCTGGGTGTTTACTGGCAGCAGCTGTTCCCGTCTTGGTTTGCATTACTCCAGATACTATTTTGGACAGAGTGAGAGTGAAAGTTATCCTAATTATAAACTAGGCAGAGGCCAAAGAAATGAGGCTAGCGCTGAAAATTGGACAGAAGTTGTCTCATGGTACCAGTTTGGGTGGCTGAGTAATTGTCCTGGTGCCTAAGTGATGAGTGGAATTCTTTACTGCAGGAAGCATCACATCAAAAATATTCCAGCGAGGGGAGGACTTGAATAAAAGGGAGCCGAGTCCTAGAGGCAGAGCATACAGCAGCTCCAAGCATTCAGAGACACACCAGGCTCAGCTTATCGAGACGAGAAACCAAGATGCTGTGCCGATTGCACCTGGCAGGCCCTCAGAGCTCCTTGAGAAGCCGAGGTTTATGGCCCCGGACCAGTTCGCTCTTTGAGGAGCTGGAGCGTGAGATGGACGCTATGTGGGAGCTCCTGACCAGCAACTGGCGACCCACAACCACCAGCATGGTCAGTCACGAAACCATCCACAGCTCGGAGACACCAAGCGCCAATGACACCTTTGCAGTGACTCAAGATATGGCTGGATTTGACCCCCAGGAACTGGTGGTGAAGCTGGTGGGGGAGAAAGTGGTTCTGACGGGCAGGAAGGCCACTGAGATGCCCAGTGGACCTTTTCGCTACGAAATCTTCCGGAGGGCGTGGGACGTGCCCCAGAGCGTGGACCGAGATCGGCTCAGTTGCTCCATCTCCAGCGACGGACAGCTCCGTATCGAAGGTCCCGTGACAGAATCAGCTATGAGGACCGTGCCTATCGCGGTCAACCGAGTGAGAAACGAACCCCAACCAGCAGCTGAAGACTCCACACCCACAGAAAACAGCCGGGCTCAGGGATGAAGGAGGCTGGATGGAAGAAACTTTTTAAAAACGACGTTGCTGAGAACATTAAAGAAAAAAGTGCACCGCTAATAAATATTTTAGATATGGACTTATACGCCCTGGGGGTTGTGATCAGTTCTCAAATGAAATGGTGGGGGGTGGGGGATAGGTAGCAGAGTTGGAGAGAATTATTTCATTTACCAGAATTCTCGTGGAAAGAATTTGCGATGTAGAATAATTAAAGGTGATGTGGACATGTTGGTCAGTCATGGTAAAAGGGTTTTGGAAAGATTGTTTCAGTCAAATATTTATATTTTTGCTGCTCAGTCAAAAGGTTGCCAGCTTTTCTTTTTTTAAAAGTTTTTTATCAGCTTTGTAAACAGTTTCACCTATTGAATAGACCAGTCCCAATGTCTAAGCATTCGATTTAATTTGCTTTTGGGATAAGAACCTGATCAGAAAGTCTTTTATAAAGGAGGATGGGAAGAAGTCGAAAAGGGGTTTACTTTAGTTAATGAGGAAAAAAAATCAGAATAGTCCCATTTATTCAGCCCAATATCCTTCCTTTGCCAAAACAGACAATACAGTACTGGAGCAGTTAGCAATAGATAGCATTTCTTTGAAGGGTAAATTGAGAAGCAGATTTGAATCATAGCTCTCAGATGAATATTGGAGATTGTCTGAATGTAAACTGGGAATTCTCTGTATGTTTAAGCAGGACTTTGCTAAGGGGAATCCATTTCCTGAAAAAGCAAATAAATAAATATATATATTTCTCTTCTTTGTTCTACTCATTTCTCAGCCTCAGTGTTCCTCATTTGTAAAATGGGGGTATCAAATGAAGGCATTTGACTAGGTGTTTCTCCAGGTATTCTGGTCAGTTTTATTTTTAGCATTTGAATTCTTGCTCTGTAGAAACTCAAACACTGAGCACATCTTAAAGCTGTAAGGTGAGTAATACGGCTGACTCAGTTCTTTATGCAACAGGTAACCAACCACCATGGGAAAAAGATAAATCAGCCACCTCAGATTCCACAGCTCTTTTCCAAGTACAATAACTAACAGGATCTAAAGTTATTCAGCACAATTGACCAATGATTTTTTTTCAGCATACATATTTTTCTTACATAGCACAGTAGCTCCTTTTCTGATTTTCCATTATAAATGTATTTGAATTTTAAAATTCCAATATTCCACAGCTTCAGCAAATATGAAACTTGTCCATTTAAGTGACCATTATAAGTTTCATATTAGCCAGTAACACATAAATTTAGCTGCTGAAAATTTAAGGTTTTTATATATTCAGAACAGAATTAGACAAACAGGATCTTCTCAGTAGTGGCCCCTCTGTGTTTCCAAAATGAGGTGAAAACCTGACTTTAGAAGGGAATATTTGGGAGATGTTAGGTTTTTCTTTCATGATTTACTTCTGCCTATTAGTTTTATTGTGATATATTTTAATTGTCATGGCTTTAAGTCTTTCAACTATTCCTGTTGCACGTCATGGAGCTGTTTTGGAGAACAACATGGAAATACAGGTAACCCTTGACTTACAAAAGTTCGTTTAGTGACCATTTGAAGTTACAACAGCACTGAAAAAAAGTGACTTATGACCGTCTTTCACACTTACAACCGTTGCAGCATCCCCATGGTCATGTGAACAAAGTTCAGATGCTTGGCAATTGACTCATATTTATGACGGTTGCAATGTCTCACGGTCATGGGTGCAACCGTGGTCACCTTTTGCGACTTTCTAACATGCAAAGGTCAGTGGGGAAGCCAGATTCACTTAACCGTGTTACTAACTTAAGAACAGCAGTGATTCACTTAACAACTGTGGAAAAGAGAGGTTGTAAAATGGGGCAAAATTCATCTAACAGCTGACCCGCCTAACAACAGAAATTCTGGGCTCAATTATGATCGTAAGTCGAGGACTGCCTGTATCAATAATTAGTTAATTCAATTAATAGCATTCCAGAGTCTTTGACCAATGGCTTTGAGCAGGTGAGGGTGAAGGGAATCTGTAATTCAAAATATCTGGGGCAGGGGTCTTCAAACTTGGCAACTTTAAGACTTGTGGACTTCAACTCCCAGAATTCCTCAGCCAGAATTCCTGGCTGGCTGAGGAATTCTGGGAGCTGAAGTCCACAAGTCTTAAAGTTGCCAAGTTTGAAGACCCCTGATCTGGAGGAATACAACTGCTCTTGCTTATTCATTTAGGAAATTTCTGCTTAGAAAAGCCAGCATGTCTCTGTTACAGAAGCTAGGGTTTTAAACAAATTACAATAGACGGTCTTGCTAGTGATAAATATAAATATTACTCTTGATTTACAAGAGTAATTGACCTCAGATTTACTGTTGTAAGTCGTTGTGGTCATTAAGCGGATCACCACAGGACCATCCCTGATTTTACGATCTTTTTTGTGGCGGTCACTAAAGGAACACTAACTGAATGTGGCGGTTTTCTCCAATTGGCGTTTCCCCCCCCCCCAGAAACCAAGAGAAAATGCTGAAAACCCACCAAAAATACTGTAAATCAGTTATGTTACTGCAGAACACTGCAAAAGCGATGTGTGAGGCTATTGCCAAGCTCCCAAAATGTGATCATGTAACCACAGGAGGTGGGTAGGTGGAGGCAGCCGTCGGAAATTTGAAATGGAGTCATAAGTAGCTCTGGGAGGTCCATTGTAATTTTGAACAATCATAAAGTGAGGATTGCCTGTAATTCCAGTCAGAAATGGTGTAGAGCAGTGGTTCTCAACCTGTGGGTCGGGACCCCATTTGGGGTCGAACGACGATTTCACGGGGGTCACCAAACAACGCAGTCTGCCATTTTTTCCCCCTTTTCCTTAGCTGTGCTACTCCCTTTTATTCTATTGGCTTTTGAAAGCCAATAGAATAGACTCTCTTGAATAGAGTCTAATTCTATTGGCTTTCAAAAGACAATAGGAATTGTCCAGGCTGTCTCTGCCCTGCTGAGCCCGCCAAAAGTCCCATTCTGCCAACGGTGCTGCACCAGTTGAGTAGTCCTCGACTTACGACCGGTTGAGTAGTTCTCGACTTACGACCGGTTGGGGGTCGCGGCATTAAAAAGGTTGAGAACCACTGGTGTAGAGTCTCCTACAAGGTCCCTTCAGACTCTGTTATTCTATTGTTCTGTTCTGTTCTGTTCCGTTCCGTTCTGTTCCTATTCCTTATTCTACTCTACTCTACTCTATTCTATTCTATTCTATTCTATTCTATTCTTTCCTGTAAATGGATCATTTTAAGAATGCTCAGAGGCTGTCTGTGATCGTGTTCAGTTCTATAACCTGCCATGACTTTTAATTATTTAAATTGTTTTAGCAACTTTGCCACCTGGTGGAAATTGAGAAAAAAGACATACACAAAATCACTCCTGTCACCTGGAAACAGGCCAAGATTCCTGAATGATGCAACAGAGTGTAAGAGGTTCCAGCACTTTCTCCCTCTGCCTAGGTTTCTCCAGATAACTCAGAACCTAAACTTGAGGATTTGATATTGGCCACCAAGAAAACCAGAAAATGGCTTTTTAAATCTCTGTTGTGGGCATGTTTTCCTCGCTATGCATAGCCAGCCAACTGGGCCTTAATTAAACCACCATTAGGCAAATGTTAATTAAATTTATATAGCCATACATCTCACCACTGTGACTCTGGGTGGCATGCAGAGTTCAAAATCCCCTCTCTCAAAATTAAAAAAAAAATAGCCACAAAAAATCATTAAAACGTTAGTCAGGGGAGATGAGGGGTGTAAAAATTAAATAAATAGATAAATAAAATTTTTAAAACTATTAAAACCATAAAAAGTATAATCTTTAATAGAGAATGCCATCGTTTTCTTAGAAATACAACCATTTAGCAGGCTCTCCAACAATGTCATAGGATGTCCAGGCCAGATGGCAAACCCCATGGCTTCGGGCTCGTCTCTGTTGTTTTGTCTCTGTTGTTTCGCAACTACACTGAGTGCTTCTATATTAGAGACAATTTCCTTGTGTGCCTAACCACACTTGGCCAAATAAAGTATTTTATTCTTTTATTCTAAGGTCAAAGAATGGAATGGAATGGAATGGAATGGAATGGAACAGAACAGAACAGAACAGAACAGAACAGAATAGAATAGAATAGTCCAGCCCCCTGTTCAAGCAGGAGAACTTTCACCATCTCAGACAGGTGAATGTCCAGTCTCCTCTTAAAGATCTCCAGTGATGGGGCGCCCACAATTTCTGGAGACAAGCTGTTCCACTGGTTGAGTATCCTCACTGTCAGGAAGTTTCTCCTTAATTCCAGGTTGCTTTTCTCTTTGATCAGTTTCCAACCATTATTTCTCATCCTCCCCTCTGATGCTTTGATGAACATCCTGGCCAATCTGACTTCAGGGGAATGATGTTTCCAAGAGTGGGCACTGTAGCAGAAAATACTCTCCTCCTGGTCCCATCAGAGACCACACTCTTTTGTGGATGTGCCCTGCAATACGCCATTTGTGCTAGACTTGATGGGACATATGAAGGTAATTGGGGTGAGGCAGTCCCTCAAAAGATGCTGAGTATTGTCATGATTTCGGGTACATGATTTCGCCACTCTGAGTCCTTTGGGATTGGGCGGCATATAAATACTGAAAATAAATAAATAAATAAATTTCCTTAACAAGATTTATTCACTTAGCCCTAATTGCCTGGGTCCAGACAACACATTATACACCAATTATTATTTAGAAATCTTGTTACTGAGTACTATTATGTTTTGTCTGTAAGCATCCTGAATGATCTGCCTTCTATAAAAACTAGCCATTAGGAATACATGAGCAAGTTAAAGGTAGTTTCTACTTCCCTTCTTCCTGTTTGAAAGCCAGTATGGTCTAGTGCAGGGGTAGGCACCTTTGCTTTTTTATGACTCGTGGACTTCAAATCCCAGAATTCCTGAGCCAGCTATGCTGGCTCATGAATTCTGGGAGTTGAAGTTCACGACTCATGAAAGAGCCAAGGTTGTCTACCCCTGGTCTAGTGGTTAAGGTAGCAGGCTAGAAAGTGGGCAGCTGTGAATTCTAGTCCTGCCATAGGCAAAAAGCGAGTTGAATGGCTTTGGGCCAATCACTCTCTCTCAGCCCTAGAAGGAAGCAATGGCAGACCACTTGTCTTGCCCAGAAAACTGCAGGGATTTGTCCAGGAAGTCACCAGGATTCAACACTGACTAGAATAGAGATTCCCAATTCCCAAGCTGTGGATGAGAACCGGTCAGCAGCGTGCCAAAAACCGGTCCTCACAAACAAGCGAAGCCCCATCCGTGCACACACGGGATGTAGGCAGCACACGAAACCACGCCCCCTCCAGTCTGCAGAAAAGCCTCTCCACTGTACGGGTCTCTGGTGCCCAAAAGGTTGGGGGCTGCTGAACTAGCATACACACACAGACACACATTCTTCTTTCTTGGCTATACAGAACATATATGAACAGCTTGAATTCAAAACATGTACCCCAAAATAAGATATAGAGTAACATCCTCCACAGTTTTTTTTCCATTTCATGCTTTGACACATGATGATATAAGATTACAGGTGAGAAGCGGTTAAAATGAATGTTTTGCCAAAGTTTCTTTTTTTATTTCAAATGATACCTATTCTGAAGAAAGAGGCAAGTTTAGATGAATGGCAGAAAGGTATTAATAAATTTATTTCGGCAGGGAAAAAACCAAGAGTAAAATTCAAAAATATACAAGATGTACGAGAGAGAGGTGGACTCAAGGTACCGTATTTGAAATTGTATTATGATGCCGTGGTTTTAACACTGATTAGTGATTGGATTAATTTAACAAATGTAGATATACTCCTTTTGGAGGGGTGGGATTTATTATATGGATGGCATGCCTATTTAATTTATGATAAGAAGGTGGACAGGGCTTTTAAGTCTCATATTTTAAGAATTTCTTTACTTCGAGTTTGGAAGAAATATTATAGAGTAGACTCAAGAATTCCATTATGGGCTATCCCAGGGCATGCAATAGAAGGAATAAGGAAAGGAGTGAAGATGGATAGTATTTCTTATAAACAATTACTTAATTGGGATGGGAAGAATTGGCAATTAAAACATATAGATAAATTAGCACAAGAAAATATTATTTATTCGTGATTTCAGTATAGACAATTATTGGAAAGGTGGAAGATAGATTATAAAGTGGGTTTGATTAGAGAGGATGAAAACTTGCTGAAACAAATTAAAGATCAAAATCGAACTCACATAAAAAGAATTTATGGTGTATTAGTGGAATTGGATTCAGAAACAGAATTAGTTAAAGATTGTATGGTCAAATGGGCTCAAAATTTTGATGAGCCGGTTTTATTAGAAACATGGGAGATAATTTGGGTGAGGAATGCTAAATTTACGCAAGCTCAAAATTTACGGGAAAACTTTTATAAAATGTTTTATAGATGGCACCTTGATCCACAAAAGATGTCTCGTATGTATTCAAATTTGCAACCTAAATGTTGGAGATGTGGTTGTTTGGATGCAACGTATTATCATATTTGGTGGTCATGTAAAAGCATAAAAGTTTTTTGGATAAAGATATGGTGGAATATTCAAAAAAATTTTAATAGAAGGATAAAATTCACTCCACAATTGTTTTTGTTAGGTATTATTGTTGATTGTGATGATAAAGAAATTATTTTAATGTTAAATTTAATCACAGCGGCAAGGTTGTTGATAGGACAATATTGGAAGAAGGAATTTTTGCCTACTTTGGAGGAATGGTTTTTTAAAGTTTCTTACTTATCTGAAATGGCAAAATTTCGGCTTATTTGAAAGATCAATCGCAAGAGAAATATCTCTTGGTGTGGAAAAGATGGATAAATTTTATACAGTATAAGTATGATATTAAAAGATATTATTTAGCTTTTGAATAATTTATGTTTAAAGTTTAAGATAATTAAGTATTCTTTATTATATATATATATATTGGACTTAAAGTACTTAAAAATTTGTTCATTTTTTTTAATGTAATATTTGTTTAAGGTTTATTTAAGTTTAAATGTTTTGTATTTTTTAGTTTTAGTTAACCCTGTATTCAGCTCTGGGAAGATGGGGGGAGGGTCTTTGGGAGGGTAGGGAGGTAGTGGGAGAGGGATTTTATTGTAAAACTGTAAAAAAATGTAATTAAAAAAAAAAAAGATTACAGGTGAGAAAAAAAGTCACCATGGACCAGAGAATCGGTGTGGATGCCACTTCCGGAAGTCTGTTCTGGGCCTGGGCTACCAGTTCTGCTGAATTGGTGCGAACTGGCTGAGTCCCACCACTGCCACGGACTCATTTGCTAACAGATTTCCACCAGCAGGAGATAGGACTTAATGCAATATTCTAGTTTATTATACTGTGGTGTTAAGGCTCAGGCTGCTCTAGGCTCTCTGAATTTGTATTCCACTTTCAACTATCATATGTACCAAGAACTTTCTGACAACACAATGCAGACAAATCTTTCCATCTGCCCAGATTGGATTTTGGATTGGATGTGCTTCTAATGTTATAAACTGAAAATGAATAAACCAGAATTTGTGGTGTATCATCCTGATCAATTGATTTTTCCCTTTCCGGTTTCTCATGGGGCGCATGACTGGGTCACATAAGTTGTCTGATGCACTGATGCAATTTGAACAGGAAAGGTGGGCAGACTGGGCAATATATTGCAATTGAGCTTCACCCCTTAACCAGTAAAGAGCAGCCACACACAATCTGGGGGCGTTAAACATTCCCTTGTACCTCCATATGGGCCACCCCATTTGTGAGCATGGCATTAAATTAGGTGGCAAAATGGCCCATTTTCCCATGGGTAATTTTGCCTTGTCTATCTGAAAATCTGGATGAAGCCATCCTCTCCTTTCCTAAAACTCTGAATAATGAGCAAAAACATAAGTACAGAATGTACAGAAAATGTACAGAACTGAAGAAGCTTCTTGGATGAGAAGTAAAATGTTTTCAAGGAAAAAAGTCGAGAAAGTCCAGTTGCCTTTGGGAAAAGCACCTTGGGGACAATCATGACTTAGATGACTGAGGATCTCCCTAAGCAAAAAACAATTAAAATTATGGCAGCAAAAAGATGGGGTTTTTTTTCTTCTTTTGCAGTGATTTGAAAGATAGAGAAAAAAGTCTAAGCCTAAAGCTTTCTAATCCTTAAATCCACTTGCTTCTATATCATTGAGGATTTGCTGTGTCTCCAGAAGCAAAATTAAGACTCCAGAACTTTGTTCTGTGTTTGCCTCCCTTCCAGTTACCAATCTCTGCACGTGGAGAGTCTTAACTCATTCCCCATCTCCCACATTTCTAGAGTGAAGGGAAGTCTTTATGCCCCATGTTCTTCTTAGTATCCCCTCAAAAAAAAAGCAATGCTGACTCTCCTCTGCAGGGTTGTTGTTCAAAACGTCTGGAACAGAATAATAGGGGAAAGGCCGGGTATTGAAAGAGGCCACACTGACCACTGTGTTTCTCTGGACTCCATTCTCAAAAGCATCCGGCCAGCTCCTGGCAATATTGACATCGCTAGCCTTGAGGGAAAGTAATTGGTAGCTTTGGAGGTGTGTGAATGCCGACTGAGCAGCCTGTCCCGTGTCTAGGACAAACTGGATTTTTCTAGAAGCTGCTAGAGCGCAAACGCGTTTTGCCTAGTTTGCCCTTAAGGCAGATTAAGGAGCAAGCAGGGCTGGCACTGTCACGATCTGGATTTTTACTCTTTCTTCTAGGCGCCTCTGGAGCCACCGCCAGCTTTCCAGACTTGTTTGGAAACATCTTACACGCCGTTGCGTCATAAACACAAACAAGGCTCCGCCGCTTAGCCGCTTGAGGAGGCGGGGCTTGGTGGGGCTATAAAAAGCGGCACCGAGTTGTTCGCCCAGCCACACACATAGAGAGAGCTTGTGGGATCTTATCTTATTTGGGGAAACGTCTTCTGCGTTGCCACCATGGCGAGCTACTCTCGCGTCCTGCTTCGGATGCTCCCGCTGCGGCGTTGGCCTCTGCCCGGTCTAGGCCCCGTCTGGCTCAGTGAGCCGCAACCGGCGTGCAGGCTCCTGTGGCCGGCCAGCCCCAGCTTCGTGGACCGCGTGATGGGCGACATGGAGAGGCAATTCCAAGAGATGGAGAAGATGAGCCGCGCCTTCTTCCAGGCTACGCCGCTGCCCTTTGGGGAGCGCGAAGGCCAGAAGGAAGCCTCGGAGGAGAACACCTGCCCGGCCGGGGAGAAAAACCATTACCGCGTCTCGGTGGACGTGGCCGGCTTTACGCCCGAGGAGATGACGGTGAACTTGGAGGGGAGGAAAGTGACGGTGACCGCCAAGCGCCAGAGGGAGAGCCGGAGCAAAGACAACGGCTTCTGGGTGGAGCATCAAGAGTTGCGCCGGGAGACTCTCCTGCCTCCTGATGTGGACCTTCAGGCCATCAGTTGCTCGCTGAATCCGGATGGACAGCTGTGCATCGAGGCCCCGCGCCTGGCCGAGTCCGAGTCCGCCCAACAAACCATCCCCATCGATGTGAAACCAGCCAATCCGAGTCCCGGCGGGGAGGACAAGCCCAAGGAACACTGATGGTGTGGATGTTCCTACCAGGCACTTAGAATCGCCCTATGAAAATGAGCAGGCTCTCAATTGCTAGCTTAGAAAAGTCTCTGCAGCCTTGACTCTCTTCTTTCCTTGTCTACAATAAAGCCTCTTTCCATTTACCCGTGGACGCATTTCTGACTTGTGTTCTGTGGGTCCAGCACCAACTTAGGATAAACTAAGAATTCAGAGGATGTGCTGAAAACAGACTGTATAAAGGGAGTGGGTGGGAGGGAAAGGAGGTGGTGCTGTATTGTACAAACAGCAGGTGGGATTCTTAAATGACGGTAAAGTATGATTGTGACTAAGTGTGATGCTCTGTATGACACAAAAGTGGACATTGTATTTTTTAAAAAGAATAAACTTATTTTTATTTTAAAAAAAATAATCTGACTGCCTGAAACCAGATTCTTAAGTGGCTTACAGAGTATTTTAAAAAAAAAAGGAACAGGTTAAAAGGTTAAACTGTTTAAAATAGTATCTCAGAATAAGAAAGTGGAATTGTAATAAATGGCATCACTGTGTGCAATTCTCAAGCACCCTTTGGAAGAATCCCATTTTCATCTTCTGGAAGACTGTGAGGATGGGAAGAAGCGAATATGCAAGTTTGTCTCCTGTTTGGAGCTTAGCATTATTCTGAATGGAAAAATTGATTACTTGTTCAAACCTCATGTAGGGGCCACTGCAGCTGTAGTGCAGGCTATGTTTGCTATGTCAGTGGTCTTTTTATACTATCCATGGGGTTTTCTTGACAAGGATAAAGTAGTGGGTTTCCAACACAATGAACATGAATTTGGGCAAACTGAGATAGTGGAAGATGGGGAAGGAGGGGTTGGGGGGCTATAGTCCATGGGGTTGTGAAGAGTCAGACATGACTTAGTGATTGAACAACATGGTGGTTCCTTCTAATAAAATAAAGCTGGTCCTGCTACCAAGGACTGGCTGTTGGAGGAAGATAGGGAAATGGCCAGTTGGTGGCCAATGCACAGGTAGTCCTCCTTTATTGACTGCCCTGCTTAGCAACCATTTGCAGTTATGAGGGTGAAGAAAAAGTGACTGATTATTCTGGCATTTACAATCTGCAGGTCTGCTCAGCAAAGGAAAGCTAAAGAGAAGCAGAGTTGCAGTTTCACTGTGACGGCTTCACTTAATAGTTGACGGTTCCAATTGTAGTTGCTAAACGAGAACTACAATAGTTTACAAGTAGATCTTGACTTACAACCACACTTGGGACCAAAATTTTCTTTGCTAAGTAAGATGGTTGCTAAGTGAGTTGTGTCTGATTTTACAACTTCCTTTGCCATAATCGATAAACTAATGCATGCCTGGCTGAGGAATTCTGGGAGTTGAAGTCCACAAGTCATAAAGGCCAAGTTTGAAGACCCTTGAACTAATCACTGTAATTAAGTGAACCATACTGTCATAAAGCATATCCCACTTCCCCCATTGACTTTGCATGTCAGAAGCCAGTTGGGAAGATCACAAATGGTGATCATGTGACCCCAGGATGCTTCTAGCATTGTAAATACATGCCTGTTGCCAAATTTTGATCATGTGACTTGTGTGATAACTGGTCAATTTTCAGTGCCATTTGTAACTTCAAATGGTCACTAAACACATAGTTCTAAATCAAGACCTATCTGTATTTTAAAATATGGAAAATGTCAAATCTACTGAATGATACCTGGATCCGCATTCAAAGGCAGGAAGGCAGTCTATGGCAGATGCTTGAGGATGTCAGAACAAATTGTGAGTTTACAGGATCATTTTTCTTGGATCAGTACTGAAGAAGAGGCAGACTGCCAGGAGGTGTGTTAAGCTAAACAGCCCTCTGGGAACTTTTGTGCAGGTTTGTTTAATGTTGCAATTCTGCCAAGGATATGGAAACAGAAGGGCAAATTTATCTTGTGTACTGTCTTTAGGTTCTAGTTTTGACTGGAATATGGGAGTGGGATGAGTGGTATCTAAATTAGACAAAAATAAAGTTTTTTAAGAGTATCCCCATTTAAACTGCATACTTTATAGTCTGCCTAGTTCGGTGCTCAAGAAAAGATTTAAGCCCCTAACTCCCCACCCATTGCCCATGTGGTATTTGAGGGGGCAAAACTGCTTCCCTTTTCTTTAGGCTGTTCTAAATATATGAATAGTAACTACTTCATCCCAAAGTGAAACTGAACAACTGTTTCCTGCTTGTCAATTTCCTGAGTGGGCTAGAGGTATCTGATTGGGTAAGACACCTATTATTTATAGAAATTTTCAGGTGTCTCTGAGGTAGCCTAACTATATTTGTGTATCACTAGATTGAGAAAAGCCTTTATATCTTTTTACCAGGGGTGGGGGGAGCGGGTAGTAAAAATTTGCTACAGCAGACAAGGTGATAGGTTGCCTTATGGCAGGGCTGGGGAACTATGGCTCTTTTATGTCTTGTGGACTTCAACTCTGGATCAGGAATTCTGAGAATTGAAGTCCATAAGTCATAAAAGGGCCATAGTTCCCCACCTCTGCCATATGGGAACAAGTGCAAATGTCTGCTTAGATCAGGGGCCTTCAATCTTGGTCCTTTTATGACTTGTGGGCTTCAACTCCCAGAATTCCACAGCCAGCATGCCACAAGTTTGAAGACCCCTGGCTTAGATGGTCTTGCAGGAATTCCAGAATAACTTTCATTAATTTGTAGGATCTGCTACCAAAATACAGGATAGCGCCCTAGCTAGCTTTCAAGAGGGAGGGTGGATTTTTTGAATAACTTCAGACTTCTTATAAGGCCTTTCGCAGATTGTTAAGCCTGTGTGTTCAAGGACATGAATGCCAGTGTTTGGAAAACCCTTTTCAAAGGGTCTCCACAAATACGTAGGGAAGAGAACAATGGAACCTTTGAACCAGTGGTTCTCAATCTCAACTTTGAGATATCTGGACATCAACTCCCTGGATTTCATTCATTCACATTCGTCCATATTAATATAGCTGCCCATCTCACAATCAAGTGACATGCTGGCTAGGTAATTCTGGGAGTTGAAGTCCATACATATTAGAGTTGCTGAGATTGAGAAACACTATAGGTCCAACCGTTCTATCTGGCAGGTACTTACGACCCAGATTCGAAGTTCAATGGTTGCCCCCTCCCCGAGTTCATAGCAACTGGGTGCTTAGCAACTAGGCTACGTTTATGGCCATTTGCAGTGTCCTGTGATCACGTGACCGCATTTTACGATGCTTTTTCTGAAAACTGGCCTTTACTTTTGGTTTTCAGCAAAACCGCCATCACTGATTCGCTGAACTGCAGCATTTGCTAAACCACTACAAAAAAAGAAAAGGTAAAATTGGGTTGGATGACTTTGCAACTGTCATGAATTTTGACAGTGATGGGCAGGTTCCATTATGATCGTAACTCAAGGACTACCTGTACTCTAAACCAAATTGGGGGGAGGGGGAAATATGCAGGAAACAGTAATACAGGCCAGCCCTGGCTAGTTGCAGACAAGCTGGTTTTTCAGTAATAGAACTTTTCCCTCTCTCCCTATAAGACACACACACACACACACACACACACACACACTTACACACACCACTTTTAAGAACAGCATCCTGGTTGTAGAATTCTGGAAGTGGTCATTGCCTGCCCATGGGGGGGGGGTGTGTGCAAAGATGGGGAAGGCTGGGAAGATACCAAGAGCTGTTTCTCCTCCCTTTTCTTCCCTGTTCACGTTCCATTACTTTGGGATTGTCAAACTTTACGGTTCTATGACTTTCTAAAGTTAAATGAAGATAAATGGGCAATAGCTGAATAAATAAACAATTCCACAGCTGCTTTCAGGACTAAAGGAATTGCTTTAAAAAAAGCTGCTGAGAGATGTTGCTTTATTAGAACAATGAGGATGTCGCAGGTATTCACAGTTCAAAATGTAGAGCGAGTGTGAAAATCTGTACTAAAGAGAAGCAGTACTGGGTTCGAGTTTGGCGGCTTAAAAAGGAGACAGTCAGGGGAAAAGCCACCAGTAAAGTTTGAAAGCAGATTTCGAGCAAAGATGGGAGAGGTTCCTTGGCTCCCGATTTGGCTTCCCCAAGACAACTAAAAGAAAACAATCCGGGTGATTTTTACCCAGACCCGTTCCCTGCAGGCATGTTTTCAAAACCTGGAAAGAGCTGAACAAACCAGAATGGACTCCTGAGGTCCTCCAAGGAAGCTTTCGCGGAAGGCTGTTGAATAAACCAAAATCCATCTAGCGCCACCCAAATCAATCCTGAGCATTAAAGGAGAGTGTTCACAGTCCTGACCTCTTACACTCGGCCTAAGGCCAGGCCTAAAAACAGTTTCTAAGCTCCTCCTCCTGTTCTAAAGCCAATGCAACTTTCTGCAGTCGCTGGTTTCTTTTCCCCCTGCCAGGCAGACCCCAGCAATATCCTTCCTTCATTCTGACGGATCCTTTGCGGGGCCACCTACAGCTCAAGGAGAAGAAAACCCACACGAGCGAGAAAGAGAGAGAGAAAGAGAAAGAGAGAGAAGTGAATGGTAGCATCCAGCCAAGTCCCGTTTTCCTGCCCTCTCCCGCAAAATACACCCAGGCCCTCTGGGTTTCTTCTCACCTCTGCAGCTCCAGATGGTGCAAAGATCTCCCTTGCCACCCCGGGCATCTCCTGCAAAGGGTTCATTGATGTTCTCATCAACTCTGGGGGCTGGGAAGCCTTTCTGGGCAGGAGAGCCAAGCCTGCTGTGCCCACCCCACTCAGTCAACCTACAGTCCAGAGGGGGACACCAGTGCAAAGTCGTATGCCAGTCCTTGAGGGGGCCAGGTGGTGGAAGAGGGGCAGGAGTTGGGAGGAAGAACGGGCCAAATCTCCAAGCCTGAATCTTCAAAAGTCATCAACCGCAGGCTGGCCTTAGTTTCTGGCTGCTATGATGACCGACAGGGCCACGCCCCCCAGCGCTACAGCAGTGGCCCCAAACAGCCACTTCCAAGGAATTGTCTGGGAAGGAGAAAAAAAAAAAGAGAGAAAAGAAAAGTAAGTGCCAAAATTCAGAACAGAAGACATATGACCAGGAATTGGCATATCACAGAAACATAGGAAACCGAAGGGAGAAAAAGACTTAGTGGGTCTCAACCTGTGGTTCGCGGACCCCTGGGGTCTGTGATGTCATCACAAGGGGTCCGCAAAGGCTTGAAAATATGATTTAAATCTTAAGTGTTGGGGGGGGGGTCCGTGGCGACAAAAGGTATTTAAAACAGGCTGGTGGTGAATACCACTGCCTTAGACCAGTGGTGGTGAACCTATGGCACGGGTGCCAGAGGCGGCACTCAGAGCGCCCTCTTTGGGCTCGCGCGCCGTCGCCCCAGTCCTAGGCCTTCAGCTGGGTTTTATAAAACTTTTTCGCTTTAGGCCTCCACCGTCGTGTGCAAAAAAAAAAAAAGTTTCAATCAATCAGTCAATTTCAACTTCTCACGGGAAAAAAAATCTTGCAAAGTTGGAATTGATTGTTTGAACTTTTTAGTCCACCCAGTCTGCTGTTACCACTGCAGCCATGCCCACCCAATGGGCCACACCCACCTGGCACCTGACGATGCATAAGTGGGTTTTGGGTTGCAGTTTGGGCACTTGGTCTCTAAAAGGTTCGCCATCACTGCCTTAGACAAACAGGCCTTAACTGTTTAGGCTTGGAAGGCAGAAAGCAACCTCTTACAGTGAGCATAAAAAGCAAGTGGCAATTTCTATAGGCCGCTCCATCGATTCGAAGGGCAAAAGGCACAAGGGCCTGCAGAAGTTCCCCCACTGGCTTTCTATGCTCATCGTACAACTTTAGTACACAAGACATCAAATCAATGGCCCCTTTTCTCCCCACCTCCGCCCCAGTGGATACTTCTTTCGGACCACCTTACCCAGGAGGATTTATCTTTGCACTTTGCTGGCGGGGTGCTAGACCCCGGGGTCCCCAGCATCTTGCGGTACATCTCTGCCTCAACGTTCCTTTGGTCAGCGTGCTTCTTTGCCAGCTTCGAGAGCTCGGTGTGAATGGTCTGGAGGCCAATGGAAGACAGAATATGATATAATTGGCGGCACCATTAAGAAGGCGAGAAGAACACTCCGTATCAGTGCACCTGGTATTTATTTAATTTATATCCCACCTTTATCATGTTTATAAACCACTCAAGGTGGCAAACATCTAATACTCCTTCCTCGTCCTATTTTCCCCATATCGGCAACCTTGTAAGGTGGCTCGGTCTGAGAAAGAGAGACTGGCCCCAAGTCACCCAGCCAGCTTCTCATGCCTAAGGCAGGGCTACAACTCAGAGTCTCCTGGTTTCTAATCTGGTGCCTTAACCACTAAAACAAACTACCGTATTTTCCTGCGTATAAGACAACTTTCTAAACCATGCAAATCTTCTCCGAAGTCGGGGGTCGTCTTATACGCCAAGTCATATTATACGCCAGAAAATACCGTATTCTCCAGCGTATAAGATGACTTTCTAACCATGCAAATCTTCTCCGAAGTCGGGGGTTGTCTTATACGCCAAGTCATATTATACGCCAGAAAATACCGTATTCTCCAGCGTATAAGATGACTTTCTAACCATGCAAATCTTCTCCGAAGTCGGGGGTCGTCTTATACGCCAAGTCATATTATACGCCAGAAAATACCGTATTTACTGCAAAGTTGCCAACACAATTCTAGAAAAGCGTATTGGCCAGGGCATGAAGGCTGTAACCTCCCTTGTGGTCTGTTCTTCATAGGCAGCCTTAGGACAGGAGAAACTCTCCTGAGCCAGATGTTGACTATCACCCTCCCAAATAATCCCGTTTCAAGTAGCCCCAGTGAAGGGAGGGAGGGTATTTCTGAAATTTTCCTTGCCCCTCCCAAGCGCTCAAAGATCTTCTTTCAAAAGATGGCCACAGAACCACCATTTGTAAAAGGGAATGTGGATGAAGATGTTCTCCAACTTCAGGCCTTCCAAGCATATTCTATCACTCCTTTGGTGTTCTTTGAGCTTGGTTGTTCAGTGCAAGCTGTTGCTATAAACAGGGAGAAAACCCCACACCCACTAGCACTGATGATGTTACCTAGTCTGGTAATGAAACGTCTGCAAGCAAACAACCAAGCTCACAGAGCACCAAGGACTCCACTATTCAACCCTGTCCTCTATCAGTCTGGGGTCATGTGATCACCATTGGCAACCTTCCCAGCCAGCTTCTAACAAGCATAGTCAATGGGAAAAGCCAGATTTACTCAACCATCACACGATTGACTTAATTGCAGGGATCTGTTTAACAACGGTGGCAAAAACCATTGTAAAATGGGGCACAACTCACTTTAATAACTGCCTTGCTTAGCAATGGAAATATTGGGCTCAGCTGCGGTCATAGGTCAAGGACTACCTGTGCTGGGCACTTGCCACATTACTATCAATAATTATTTTCAGTTGACAGGCGTTTATGAAATAAAGGCAAAGTAATTTTCGTTAAAAAACAAATTTTTATCCAATATCCTAAAGGGATTATATTTGGCAAAGAAGCAATAATATATTTAATTTTCGAGTCATGTTTTCATATCTTTGGTTGACCATATCCTTTTAAGCTATATTTCTACTACCTGGAAATTGATGGCTGGACAACAAAAAATGGATTCTCTCTGCCATTTTATTGCTAACAGTATTTCATAGCGCTGGAAAGATAAATTCATGATTCTAATTAGTCTGTTGTTTCAAGACCCAATTGTTATTTGCAACTAAGGAATTGTTATTTGCAAGTAACCAATCACAGATCATGTATGGACAATTACAACAAAACATGGAGAGTTTAATAAAAAAAAACATTGTACTGTATGTTTATGAGTTATAAAGAGAGAAAGAGAGAAAGGCTCAGTTTGGTATAATAGTTAAAGTTGTGAGTTCTAGTCCTCCCCTAAGCATTTAAGCTCCCTGGGTGATTTTTCAACCAGTCACTATCTCAGTCCAACCCACCTCATAGGGTTGTTGTTGGGTGAAAATAAGAGGCGTTATTACACACCATGAGTTGTAGAAAAGGGAGGGGGCATATAAATTAAATAATAATATGTTATTGCTGTCTGAGGAAGCACAGTGGCTCATGTGGTTAAGCACTGGGTCAGAAGTTAGCAAGCCTACGTTTGAGACCTGAGTGCTGCCACGGAGTGGGGTGAACTCCCGTCCTTTGCTCCAGCTCCTGCCGGAGATATGAAAGGAGTCTGCAATTGGACGTTCCCCGGACAACAGTGATGTCACCAGCTAATCCTTTCATCTTGAATTGTGATCCAGGAGTGTGAGTGTGATTGCTATGCTTCCTCCCCCCCCACCTCTTTTTCTTATTGTTTCCTCTTTTTCTCTTTGTTCTGATTCAATAAATAAAGCAAGAAAAAAAAACTTAAAGAAATACAGGCAGATGTGTCTTCAAGGAAGATGCTCATGGGCACGTTGATGCTCACAGGCCCTTGCTTGTTTTCTCAGTTACGGTCAGATTCCAAGGCCTACCTTATTTGATGGTTCCAGCTTCAGAGCGGCCTTTAAGATTGGGATGGCCCCACTGTATTCTCCCTGCTGAGCCAGAACCTAGAGCAGGAGATAGAGAAAAAAGCAGGGCAATATCTGGTTTAATACAGGTCTTTCTAAAGCAGTGGTTCTCAACCTTTTTAATGCCGCGACCCCCAACCAGTCGTAAGTTGAGGACTACTCAACCGGTCGTAAGTCGAGGACTACTCAACTAGTGCAGCACCGTTTGCAGAATGGGACTTTTGGCGGGCTCAGCAGGGCAGAGACAGCCTGGACAATTCTTATTGGCTTTTGAAAGCCAATAGAATTAGACTCTATTCAAGAGAGTCTATTCTATTGGCTTTCAAAAGCCAATAGAATAAAATGGAGTAGCACAGCTAAGGAAAAGGGGGGGAAAAATGGCGGACTGCATTGTTTGGCGACCCCCGTGAAATGGTCGTTCAACCCCAAATGGGGTCCCGACCCACAGGTTGAGAACCACTGTTCTAAAGCCTTTGCCAGATTTATCTGATAGTGACGATTTGAAGTTAAAACGGACCCCACCCCCAAAAGTTACTTACAACCTATTTTCAAAGTTACAATGGCCACACATACACACAGAAACATGCAGTCAGGTGACTGCATTTGGGGCACTTGGCAACAGACTCACCTTTATGGCTATGGGGTCATGTGACCCCCAATTGGTAATTTTTTTTGGCAATTTCCAGCAGTTGCTTCCAGTTTCCGGAAAAAGAAACCCATAGAAAGAATGGATTTGCTTAACAGCCACAGTGTTTGCTTAATGACCACTGGGTTTGTTTAATGACCACCTGTCGTGGTTCCGACAGATGAAGCTCTTCAAAGAACCTTAAAGAATCTTTATTCGAGAAGCATAACATCGGCACTTACATAGCCAAAGCCAAAATCTGAATTCCCCTGCCCTGAGTACATAGTATCAAAGCACAATTCCCTTCTCTAATTTACAGTCATAAATCACATTCTCCAATTAGTTTGAAATGCAGGCTTTCCCTCCAGTTCTCCAAGCCGCCAATTCTTATCATCACTTATTTCAAAAACCTTGGTTCTCACACTAGGTACAGTATTGTTATGTCTAACTAAACTCCCATGCACATTCCTCCTCCTCTCCCCCAGTATCATCTAATTCTAACTCCAATTCTAAGAATAAAACAAAGCAAAGGGAAATAGCTGCATATGTTGTCAAAGCAAAAACATCCAATGTTAGCAGCGTTGACACCACCACAAAAAGGTCCTGAAATCGTGTGTGGTCACATGGGGTCCCGCTTAACGGCTGCCGTGACTTACTATCAGAATTCCGGGTTCAATTACAGTTGTAAGTCAAGGATCGCCTGAACTGGAATATCACCTGGGAGGAGGTGCCAAGTGCTGCCATCCTTTGATGGGCAATTCCGTCACCCAATCATCATCGGACCTCGAGCTCATTGACAAACCCTCGACCCCAAGGCCCCTGTTACCTTTCCCTTTCGGAACAGAGCCTTGATGTTATCTGGCTGTTGCTCCAACACTTGATTGCAGGATCGCAAGGCGGCCTCAAAATGGTCCAGCTTAAGATGGGAAGCTGCTAAATTATTCAGGCATTTTATCTTCACTTCCACCAGCTCCGCCTCTTCTTCTGCACTGAAATCCACTGCGGGGGGGGGGGGGAAGCAGAATTAGGACAGGGGAAAGGCTATGATTCAGGACAGAGGGCAGGACTAGACAGGGGGCAGTTCTTCTCTGCTCCACGCTGAGTGGAAATTATGGAGTAGGAATGCAATGTATCAGAGAGGTGTCAGACTGGAGATGTCTGTCCTAAAACGTAGAGCAGTATTTTAAAAGTTTGTTTAAAAGTCATTAAAATATTGAACTGGAAAAACCTTCTGTTTCTATCTTGTAGCCATCACCACCTGATCAATAGAAGACCCCTGTCCTAAATGAATCATTGTAAGCGAGGACTACCTGCATTTATACTAGCACCTACTCCACATTATAGAGTTCAAGAGGCATTTTTTAAAATAAGGAATCAAGTTGCTAGTTCTCAGCTATTGAGCGGCACTTAGTACAAAACAAATTGCCCTAGGCAGAAGTCAGGCTTCTTGGGGGGGCGGGGGGGGGGGAAATCAGGTACCTTTAGTATTAGAATTGATGACCTTGAGAGCAATGTCATAGGAGTTGGCAGCCAGAATGTAATCTGCTCGCTGGTAGTGGAAATTGCCACGTTCTCTTTTCCGGTTAGCCAATGAGACTTTCTCTTTCCCGCCAAGGAGTTCCAGATCAGGAGCATCCTGGGCTGCCAGCAACTCCACCTCAAGAGTTAAGAAAGCATTGGGAGGAATGTCGGGACTCCTGCTCGGAAGAGATCAACAGATGCACTCAGATCAGATCAAAGGTTCCATTAACACAACATTAATGCACGCCAAGAGTGGCCGGAGCATGAGTCCTTTTCATTCAGCTCTAAGTTCACTAAATATTAAGGCAATGTTTTCCAACCTAAACTGAACCACCGTTTCCCAACCTTTGCAACTTTGAGACGTGTGGACTTCAACTCCCAGAATTTCCCAGCCAATTCCAACGGGAGTTGGAAGTCCACAAGTCTTAAAGTTGCAAAGGTTGAGAAACACCATACTACAGCGGTCTCCAACTTTTTAGATTTGGGGACCAGTGGGGGGGGGAGAGGGGATGTTTCCATGCGAGTGGCATGGCAGGCACACATGTGCGTGCAGGTCTATTTGCGTGAGTGGTGGGTATGCATGCCTGCCGCTTGCACAAATGGAGCTGCACACGCACGCTTGCCCACTATATGCACAAGTGGAGTTGCCCAAATGTGTGCACTCGCCCACTGCTTCTGCGGCCCGACTCCGAACAGGCCATGTTCCGGTAGTAAGCTGCAGCCTGGCGGTTGAGGACTCCTGCTGTACTAGACCATAATCTAAGACTATGCACGTTTATGGATTGAAAAGGCAAAATGTGTGTCACAGAGCACATGGGCACACACAATTTAATGTTGGGAACATTAAAGCAGCTATATCTTTTCTCAGGATTGCATGTCAGCTGCTGCTGTTGCTTTCCAATGCTTGCAACAGCAGCTACATACAAGACCTGCACACTCTGAATCACATTTTGTTCTTTGAATCTGGATCTCTGCACAGACTATACTATAGTGTGGCAAGCCATCATTTCTCTTCAAACTTTCCTAGGTCACTTCTACTTTGACATGTTTCTTCTGGTGACAACCTCCTGGCTGGCTTTATATATAATAAAAAGCAGGTAACTGGATTTTAATGCTAGTTTAGTCATCAAAATTGGAAACAATATTTGGTTCCAATTGCAAAAGGCAGTAATACATTTTAAAAGCCTATCCTGAACTTAATGGGAAATTGAAATTTAGTTAGGAAGAATTGAGTATGGTATGCTCAACCCTATAGAAAGCTAATAGGAAATTGTAATTTAATAATAATAATAATAATAATAATAATAATAGTAGTAGTAGTAGTAGTAGTAGTAGTAGTAGTAGTAGCAGCAGTAGTAGTAGTAAAGTTGGAAGGGACCTTGGAGGTCATCAAGTCCAACCCCCGGCTCAGGCAGGTAACCCTATACCATTTTGGACAAATGGCTGTCCAGTTTCTTCTTTAAAACTTCCAATGTTGGAGCATTCACCTCTTCTGGAGGCAGGTTGTTCCACTGGTTAATTGTTCTAACTGTCAGGAAGTTTCTCCTTAGTTCTAGGTTGCTTCTCTTTTTGGTTAGTTTCCACCCGTTGCTTCTTGTCCTGCCTTCAGGCGCCTTGGAGAATAGCTTGACACCCTCTTCTTTGTGGCAGCCCCTGAGATATTGGAACACTGCTATCCAGTCCCCCCTCGTCCTTCTCTTCATTAAACTAGACATACCCAATTCCAGCAACCGTTCCTTATATGCTTTAGTCTCCAGTCCCTTTGTTGCTCTTCTCTGTACTCTTTGTAGAGTAGGGAGGATTAGTTAGGAAGGATTGAGTATGGTATGCTCAACCCTATAGAAAGCTAATAGGAAATTGTAATTTAGTTAGGAAGGATTGAGTATGGTATGCTCAATCCTACAGAAAGGAACTAGATACGTTTAGCTTCACGAAGAGAAAATTGAGGGGAGAGAAAACAGCAGTCTTCCAATGCTTAAAGGGAAGAGGGCATCAATTTCCATAACACTAAGGATAGGACAAGAAGCATTTGGGTGGAAGCTCATCAGAGGAAGATCCAACCTGGAAATAAGGAGGAATTACCTGGTGGTGAGTACTATTAAGCAATGAAACAGTTTATGGGTGCTCCATCGCTGAAGATCTTCAAGACTGGACAACTATTTGTATAAAATGGTATCAGGATTCTTGCCTTGGACAGGGGGTTAGACTGGAAGACCTCCAAGCCCTATGGTTCTATGAGTATCAAATAGACAATTCAGTGAAGGATTTCTTCCCAGTATTTTATAGGTCAATTGCTGCAATAGAAGCTCCATTTCTGCCTTCGTGGCTGGACTGTTCCAAGCATTATGGGCTAGGAGGTTAAGTCTAGGGGATCATCACCCAGAACCTGTGTCCAACAAAGTATCTCCAGGAAATTCCATAGGTAGAGTCCAAAGACCCCAGCCTCTGTTGCCTCTTAATGCTCCTGTTTTCTGAAATGGGCTGCTTCTACGCATGAGGTGGTGAGCAGGAGAAGATCTATTTAATAGCAATAGCACTTAGACTTATATCCCGCTTCACAGGGATTTACAGCTCTCTCTAAGTGGCTTACAGAATTAGCATATCTCCCCCAACAATATGCTGGTTCCTCATTTTACTGTCCTCAGAAGGATGGAAGGCTGAGTCAATCTTGTGCCGGTGAGAATCGAACTGCCGGCAGCCGGCAGATTCAGCCTGCAATACTGCATTCTAACCACTGCGCCCCCACGGCTCTATTTAATCTTCTTTAAAACAGTGCAAATGGCTCAGAGATCCACCTGGTCCAACTTTTAGCTGCTCAACAAAACTTCAACTGTTTAAGGCAGGGGTCCTCAACCTTAGCCAGCTTTGCTGGCTGAGGAATTCTGGGAGTTGAAATCCACAAGTCTTAAAGTTGCCAAGGTTGAAGACCCCTGGTTTAAGGAACCCCATGAGCAGAGTACGAAACCAATAACCCTTTCTGAGTTTTCTGTCTACCAGCTGGAAACTCAGAGAGACTTCCTCTAAATGGACACTCCCTATAGGTAGCAGAGCTAACTGCTGCTGCTAAGCCACCCCACCCTTGCCAACATCTGACTTAGTTCCTCACATACCTCCCCTGTGGGCCGAAGCAGTATTTCCCATCTGAAGTGATGAGTGCTGTCTCCCCCATGTCCATCAGTTGCACACAGAGATCCAGAGCCTGTGAAGAGGAAGAGGGAAGAAAATGAAAATTATTTGGGGAATAAGGAAGCGGTGCAGGGAAGATAAATGGTCATTTAGAAACCCCAATTAGAGCAGTGTCTCTAATCTGTATGGTGGGCTGGTGAATTCTGGGAGTTGAAGTCCACACATCTCAAAGTTGCCAAGGTTGAGTAACAATGGGCTAAGACTTGGTGCTTACAGTATCTATCAACCAGGCAGATGTCTTCCCTTGGTTCCTGTTTATCTGCTACTGATAATAATTCAGGGCCCCAGCTATCAATTTCTTCTCAAAAGGAATCTGCACTCGCTAAGGATGGAGCTATAGTCCTTCAACTAAGGCTATATACCAAAATTGTGCATGATAGTAACTTTTCCAAATAGGTATAAGCCTAGTGATTGAAACCTGCCATTCTCTCTGGCTTGCCTTTAAATGTCTAAAGGTAAAGCTTTCCCCTGTCCAGTCATGTCTAACTTCAGGGGACGGTGTTCATCTCCATTTCTTAGCCAAGGGAGCCAGTGTTTCTGTGGCCGTGTGACCAGCATCATTATACACCAAAGGCACTCAGAAGGCTGTTAATTTCCCATCAAAGTAGTATCTATTTATCTACTTGCATTTGCCTGCTGATGCTAGCTGGGCAGGAGCTGGGGCAAGTAACAAGAGCTCACCCTGTCGCATAGTGCTTGGGTCTCGAACCTGGGCTGTCAGCTTTCCAGCTGACAAGCTCTGCGTGTTTAACTAATGTGGAATAATGAACAATCACTAGAATAATGATGTGTCTGCATAATTACTGGAACAGTGCTGTGTTAGTAGTATGTGACTAACCTAATGCGCATTGCACTTGGATACAATGTATGTAGCAAACTCTCTCCATTGTATACCCGTGAGAAATGAATCTAATGTATTACAATGTGTATTTCAATGTGTATTCCTTTGTTCCTGAGGAAAGGAAAGTATAAAATTGAAGTCTGAACCCGCCCTCGGGGTTCAGAATTGCTTGTTGCTATTGCTTCTGAATCTGCGCAATAAATCTCTCTGCTAAAACCCTCTGTGAGGACCCACCCCACTTTGCATCTTAAGAAGACAGAACTCTTGGAATAATTCTTCCAACAGGAATCCTTTATTAAGAGAAAATGGTTGCAGGCATGCTAGACAGGACTTGGGGTTCAAGCTCTCCCATTCAAGGTTTTAAGGGGTTCCCCAGTAGTCCCACCCAATCAACCCCCCTTCCAGTGATAGTTTCAAGTATCACAATTCCATCCCCTTTCTTCTTCCGTCTGGATGGAGACTTCAGATAACTACATGAAAGGCAATTACTCTTCTTTGATATGTTAAAGCTTAGAGGCCACAATAAACACACATTCAGTCCTTTGAAGTGTGCTGAAGGAAGTGAGGGCCATAAAGCCCCTTTGCTCTCCCCCTTTTCTCCCTCTTATGGCAGAATCCAGAGAAGGCAGAATTGGGAGTTTCTATGTTTGATAATTAAAGATGAAATATAATTGGATTCTGACATCCGGCCCCTCTTAACAATAAGAGAGATCCACCTGAAAGAAAACACAAGTAAAAAATTTAGTTAGGCTTGTTAGGATACTCTGTGTGAAACTTCTTCAATAGCTTCGGGGCTCTGACGTGACGTTTATGGACCCACTCATTTTGTGAGGCAGGGAGGTGTTTCCAGGCAACTAGGTACTGAGTTGTTCCACGATATCTCCTAGAGTCAAGGATCTCTTTTATTTCGAAGTGTTGTTCCCCCTCCACCATGATTGGAGGTGGTGGGGGGGGGATTTTTGGCCGTAGAGGTGACTGATGCTCTCTTTTCAGCAAGCTGCAATGAAAAATTGGGTGTATTTGCCTGAGGTTTTTGGGTAATTCTAATTCTACTGTTACTGGATTTATGATCCTTTTAATTGGAAAAGGTCCTATATATTTTGGTCCAAGTTTTTTACAGGGCTGTAGGGACTTTAGGTATTTTGTAGATAAGTACACCATTTCTCCTATAATGAATGGTGTAGGCTCAACCCTTTTTTTATCGGCTTGTGCTTTGTATGCCCGCCTAGCTTCATCTAGTGATTTTCTGACTATTGGCCAGGTGTTTTGTAGGTTTTCCATCCATTCTTTCAGTGAAGGGATCGTTGGTTCTTTTGGGGTTAACTCTGGCATAGGGTTGAAACTTTGGCCGTTGGCTATTTGAAAAGGAGTGTAGCCTGTGCTGGAGTGGACTGCATTATTGTAGGCAACTTCTGCAAAAGGAAGTAAGTCCGTCCAATCACTCTGTTGGAAATTTAAAAAACATCTCAAATATTGCTCAAGTACCGACTGGCAGCGTTCCGCTTGTCCATCTGTCTGAGGGTGATGGCTAGATGTCAGTCCCTGAGTGGTCCCTAAGAGGGATAAAAATTCCTTCCAAAATGTAGACGTAAATTGCACTCCCCTATCAGAGATGATGCGTTGGGGTGCCCCGTGCAATCTGTAAATGTGCTGGATAAAAAGTTTTGCTAAGGCCTTTGCAGTGGGAATTTTTTGGCAAGGGATAAAGTGCACCTGTTTGGAAAATAGGTCCGTGACTGTCCAGATAACAGTATTCCCATTGCTTTCAGGCAATTCCACTATAAAATCCATGGCTATTTCCCTCCAGGGGGCTGAGGGACTTGCCACTGGTTGTAACAGCCCTGGCGATTTCCCTTGCAACCTCTTTGCTGATGCACAGGTTGGGCAGCTGGCAACATAACTTTCTATGTCCTTTTTTATTGATGGCCACCAAAATTGCCGTTTAATTAAGTGTAAAGTTTTTACAAATCCAAAATGCCCTGCTGATTTTGTGTCATGGCAAAGTTGCATGAAAGTTAGTCTTTGAGTTGTTGGTATATATAACTTTTCCCCTACCCAAGGCAATCCGTCTCTCATTGTGCACACATGTTTGTTTTTCTGGAACCAATCATCTGTTTCCAAACTTTTTCTGAATTCAATCCCAGTTTGGCTGTCCAGTTGTGGTTTTATTTTGGCTTGGGTTCTTGTGGTTACTGGCGCTGCCAGTTGTGACTCTGCCATTATTGGTCTAGAGTCTGTGGTTCGTGCGCTGTTATATTGGGGCATGCGAGATAGTGCATCTGCCAGGAAGTTCTTTCTTCCTGGTAAATGTTTGAGCTTAAATTGGAATTGGTGAAAATGCTGGGACCAGCGGGCTTGTTTGGGATTGAGTTTCCTGGGAGTTTTCAGGGCTTCTAAAATTTTGTGATCAGTCCATACCTGGAAGGGGATTTTGTTGCCTTCCAGGAACTGTCGCCACGTGAGTAATGCCCAACGTATCCCATAAGCCTCCTTCTCCCATACGGGCCAGCGCTGTTCTGTTTCCGTGAGTTTCTTAGATGTATATGCACAGGGTTGCAATACTGCATCATCATTTTCTTGTAATAGCACAGCCCCCACTGCCACATCACTTGCATCTGCCTGTATTATGAAGGGTTTGTCCATGTCTGGGTGCCTTAGTACTGGTTCGGCAGAAAAAAGTCTCTTTAGTCTCTCAAACGCTGCTTGGCACTCCATTGTCCATTTTAGTGGCTGGCTAGGTTTTACTGAGGATGTTCCCTTCGTTTTTAGTAAGTTAGTGAGGGGCAAGGCTATCTGTGCAAATGAGGGGATGAATTGGCGGTAAAAATTTGCAAAGCCCAGGAAACTTTGTAGTTGCTTTCTTGTGCGGGGTGGTGCCCATTCTAATACTGCTCTGACCTTCTCTGGGTCCATTTCAATGCCCTGTGGGGATATGCGATAGCCTAGGTAGTCTATCCTTTCCTGGTGGAATTCGCATTTTGAGAGTTTGGCATATAGGTGAGCGGCTCGCAGCTTCTTTAAAACCGCTCTGACAAGTTTGACGTGTTCTTCTTTTGTTTCGGTAAAGATAAGAATGTCGTCCAAGTAAACAAGGACCCCCTTAAACAGGTGCTCCCTTAGAACGTCATTGATTAATTGCATAAAGACTGCAGGGCCCCCTTGTAATCCAAATGGCAAGACTTTGAATTGATAGCACCCCATGGGGCAGTTAAATGCAGTCTTCCATTCGTCCCCTTCCTTGATTCTCACTCGATAGTAAGCTTCCCTTAAGTCTAGTTTAGAAAAAATTTTCCCTTTCGATAGGTGTGACAGCATGTCTTTCATGAGGGGCAGCGGGTATAGGTTGCTTTCACTGATTGTATTCAGGGCCCTATAATCCACGCATAAACGTAAGGAGCCATCCTTCTTCTCTCTAAAAAGGACCGGGGCAGCCACTTTAGGCTTGGCTGGCTCAATGAAACCTCTCTCCAGGTTTTTTTTTATAAATCTTTCCATTTCCTCCTTCTCCTTTGGGCTCATGGAGTATAATCTGGGCTTCGGGAGTTTTGCCCCAGGCTTGAATTCAATGGTACAGTCTGTGGGTCGGTGGGGGGGAAGCTCATTCGCCCTCTCCTCACTGAAGACTTCAGCAAGGTCCCTATATTCCTCTGGTATTTCTGTTAATCTTTTTTCCTCTCCTATGGATGCTTTTTCTATTCTTGATTCTGGTAGCCTCCCTTGGGGTTTTAAGTCCATAGGGTCCCCCTTCGGGAATTTGATTTCTGTCGTCCTCCAATTTACCCAGGGGTTCCATTTTTTCAACCATTCCATCCCTAGAATCATTGGGCATTCCATACCTGGGGTCACCACAAACGTTAAGTCCTCTTCATGGTTGCCCAGGGAGAGATGTATTGGCAAAGTGGCTAGGGTAGCTGGCACCCCCCCTGCTATGGATCCATCTAGCTGGCCAAATGAGATTGGTTGTTCCAGTCTCCTGGATGGGATGCCCAGATTCCCCACTAGTGTTGGGCTAATGAGGCAGCGGGTACAGCCAGAGTCTATTAAGGCTTTCACCTTCACAGCTTCGGGCATGGGGGGGATTAATATAGTCACTGTTTTGAAGATGGGTGTGATGCATCCACTTACCAGGGGTTCGCCCTCCGAGCTGTCATCTGAGGCATCCACCGGCCCTGTGGTGTAGGCTGGAGTCCTTTCCCTTGGTGAGCAGAGGTGGGGGTTTCTGCAATTTCCATCATTCTCATGGCCGTTTCTTTTGGCTTAGCTGAATACTTTCCGGGTTTGTTGATTGGGGATCTGTCTGGGTTGTGCTGGGGGGCCTTTGAGCGGCATTCTACAGCTCGATGCCCTTCTCTTCCGCACTTGAAACATCCCATTTGCTTCTTGGCTGTATCCGATGATTTCACCGGTTGGTGTGTCAGCTCAGGCGGGGGGCGGCTCCATTGTTTTCCTCGGCGATGCCTCTTCAATATGTCGATCTCTGCTTCCTCTGCCAAGACGTACCATTCCTCAAGTCGATGTGGGTCCCCTCGGGGCAGGCAAGCATCATATAGATCATAGTTTAGTCCGTCTTTGAAATGGCCAAGGAGGATGTCTTCTGGCCAATTCAGTTTGCTGGCAATGGCCCGGAATTCTTGTGTATACTCAGCCACTGGGCGTTTGCCCTGCCTCATCGTTGTTATTTTTTCACGGGCTTTGCGATCAGCCAGGGGGTCTTCAAATCGTCTTCTCAAAGAGGACATGAAACGGTTGAAGTTACTGAGTTCTGGGGCATTGGAGTCATGCAAGTTCACTACCCAATCCGCAGCTGGTCCATCCAGGGCAGATTGCACGATCCGGATGCGGGCTTTGTCGCTGGGAATGTCCTGCCCATATTCCTCCATGTAGCTGAGGACTTGGGTTAGGAAAAACCCCAAGCGTGTTGGCTCCCCTTTGAATTTCACTTCCAACGGTGGACGTCTTGGAATGGATCGGTGCCTCTGTTGTGGGTGGTAGTGCCTTCCGTCCAGATTGCCATCTGTGGTCCGGTAGGGGGTGGGAGCTCCTGGATCAGTAGATGTCCCTGGGGTTGCAGGTTCCACGTTCCCCTCGGTGTCTCTCCCTTTGCGGCTCCAGGAACTGGGGCAGCCGTAGGGCTCAGTATTCTCCTCTCCTAGGGAGCTGAGAGTTCTCTTCATCAGGTCAATAGCTTTCTCTAGGATCCAGTCTGAGTACGGTGCCCAGCTTCCTCCCTCTTCACTTGCGTGCAGGGATTTCTCCATCTCCTGCTTCCATTCTGGTTGCTTGGTCCCCGTCTCAGGGTCACCTTTCTTGATTCCTTTCCCCACTCACTTTTCTTTCCAACGCCCATCGACCAGCGAGGCTTGTGGTCCTGTGTCTCCACCACTTCTTCTCCTGAGGAATCTGGCCTCTCGGATCCCAACATCTGGCAAGGTTCCAACTGGGTCAGCGGCTCTCTTTCCAGGGAGTTTTCCCCCTCTCTTGCTCCATTGTCTGACATGGTAAATTTTTGCAAAATCCCCCGGCAAGGGTCTTCCTTCCAGGTGGATTAATTTTGCAAGTCCTGTCTAATGTGAGGACCCACCCCACTTTGCATCTTAAGAAGACAGAACTCTTGGAATAATTCTTCCAACAGGAATCCTTTATTAAGAGAAAATGGTTGCAGGCATGCTAGACAGGACTTGGGGTTCAAGCTCTCCCATTCAAGGTTTTAAGGGGTTCCCCAGTAGTCCCACCCAATCAACCCCCCTTCCAGTGATAGTTTCAAGTATCACAATTCCATCCCCTTTCTTCTTCCGTCTGGATGGAGACTTCAGATAACTACATGAAAGGCAATTACTCTTCTTTGATATGTTAAAGCTTAGAGGCCACAATAAACACACATTCAGTCCTTTGAAGTGTGCTGAAGGAAGTGAGGGCCATAAAGCCCCTTTGCTCTCCCCCTTTTCTCCCTCTTATGGCAGAATCCAGAGAAGGCAGAATTGGGAGTTTCTATGTTTGATAATTAAAGATGAAATATAATTGGATTCTGACACCCTCTGGAATTCGTAAGAGTCCTTTCGTTTTCCACAAGATAACAGCTGAGCCATCGCATCCCCCATATCTAACCCACATGAAAATACACTTCTAGTCCCCATTCTTCCCCTCCATTAGTGGGACGGTGGGAGTGCCTGTTACTGGTCATGATAATGGCAGATCAAGACAGACATGTACCTGGATGATATCACAATCCCCCAGCGTGAAGGTGAGCTTGGGGTCTTCCTCCACTACTGTCCCATCCTCCAGTGTTGCTTTAAAATGGACAGTCACATCCTGGCCCTTAACTGGCCGGCTCTCCTGACCTTGGCCTGATAAGATGACTTTCTTCTTCAGTAAGCCATTCCCTGGAGATGGGATTGAGAGAAGAGTAACTTGTTAGAATCTGCAGCTTGGACCTCCAGGTAGTCCTGGACTTGAGTTGAGAGCAGAATTTTGGTTGCTAAGTAAGGTGGTTGTTAAGTGAGTCATGCCCAATTTTGCAATCTTTTTTGCCATGGTTGTTAAGTGATTCATTGCAGTTAAGTGACCCATGTGGTCATTAAGTGAACCCAGCTTTTCCCCATTGACTTTGCTTGCTGGAAGCCAGCTGAGAAAGTCGCAGATGGTGATTACATGATCCCAGAATGCTGCAACCGTCGTAAATGCTGGTTGCCAAACTCCCAAATTTTGATCACATGATTGTGGAGATGCTGTGACAGTCATAAGTACAAGGAGCAGGTGTTAAGTCACTTTTTGAGTGCTGTGGTAACTTAGAACGGTCAACTAAATGAATGGTTGTAAGTCGAGGATTACAAATACCGTGTTTTCCCGAAAGTAAGATCTACACCAGGGGTAGGCAACCTCGGTTCCTTTATGACTCACGGACTTCAACTCCCAGAATTTGTGAGTCAGCAGCTATGCTGACTCAGGAATTCTGGGAGTTGAAGTCCATGAGTCATAAGAAAGCAGAGGTGCCTACCCCTGGCCTACACCAACAATAAGCCCTAGCTTGATTTTGGGGGGTTGTCCTAATATAAGCCCTATCCTAAAAATAAGCTATAGTTTTGGGATGAGGCACACACCTAAAAATCAAGCTAGGGCGGTGGTGGGGGTGTGGAGCTGTCCCACCCGCCCCGCTTATCTTGCAGCCAGGCCTTTCCTTGCTGGCCCACTTCTTCTTCTCAGGCCTCTTCTGCAGCCAGGCCCGCATTTCTCAGTCACAGGGCTTTCCGGAAGGCCTGTGCAGCCAAGAACCAAGCTATGGATTCAATCCATAGCTCGGTATTCAGCTGCTTAGGCGTTCTGGAAAGGCCTGACTGCAAAATGCAGGTCCGAATGCAGCTGTAGAACTTCGGCCCCAGAAGAAGTGGACCGGCTGGGTGGGGCTGTCAGTGCCGGAGGTGAGGTAAGGCCTACCCGGAAAATAAGACCTGGTGCCTCTTTTGGAGGCAAAAAATAAATAAATAAGACCTGGTCTTATTTTGGGGGGAACACGGTATGTAGAAGGGAAAGACATCCTTAATAAAGGCTATAAGTCCTACAGTACCTAGTCTGAGAATTCTGAATCCCATCACATCCATAGGGAAGGAGTTTGATACAAACCTAGAGGTACCTGCTCCAACGAACATACAATACAGGTAGTCCTCAATTTGCAACCAGTCCCTTAACAACTGTTCAAAGTAACAATGGACTTCCCTCAGTGTACTTAGAAGATGGTTCCCCAGTTCCAATGGTGGTCCCCATCCTGCAGTGACTACATACATATGGCTGTTTGCAGCATCCCATCATCACATGACCACATTTTACAATGGTTTTGCTGAAAATCGGCATTTACGTCTGATTTTCCGCAAAAACGGCCCATAGTGAAGTGTTGGACTACGGCGTTGATTTAACTTGGGTGACCCAATTTGCAGCTATCATGACATACAACTGTGATGTCCAGGCTCCATTATGGTCACAAGAGAACAACCTGTACATGCCAGATGCATGTGAGTAAAGGTGAGACATAAATGCAGTGACAGTTCTTCCCCACCCTCACCTAGAAAAGGACTCAGGGAACGGGGTGGGGGCTAGAAGAACAGCAGAGAGGTGGGCAAAATCTGTGGTCCCACCTAAGACATCAAGCCATTCCTGGCTCGCCTCTGACTCTTCCTTAGCCAGATGTTCTTCTTTCGTTTCTTGGTTGTCTTTTTTGGCAGAGCTGGTTGGAACATCCTCCAGTGGGGGGAGATCACTTAAATCCCCATCTTCTGCACTATCCAGGACTTCAAAATCTTCGCCGTTGTCAATCATGGAAGACTGGGTGGCTGCCAGTTCAGATGAGGTCAGGTCGACTAGACTGGTGCCTGCCCAGTCATCCAGGTCTTCCCCTCCGGAAGCCATGGCGCCAGCGCGCTATGATCAGCTGAACTGCAAGAAGCAGAAAGTGGGACACAGAAGGAAGTCAAAAGGACACACGGCCCTGATTTTGTTGATTCTTTGCTCCAGTTCCAGGAAATCCACCTCCCATTCCTATCATGAATGGATAATCCCTCCCTTGTGGGGTTCCTTGGTGCGCTTTGAGTTTGGTTGTTTTCTTGCAGTATGCTGATAGTGTTACCTAGTTTGGTAATGAAACGTCTGCAAGAAAACCACCAAACTCAGAGAGCACCAAGGACCCCACAGTTCAATCCTGAGCTGCAAATATTCTCTTCTATCAGTCCCTCCCTTATTTATGAAAGAAATACAAATGCCAATAACTATTCAAAACATATGCCACAAAGTCCAGAAATTTTTAAAATGACCCTGAATGAATCCACACTGCGGAATATTTTTACTTTATATAAAATATTTTTTCTTCCTTCTTCTCCCCCCCCCCCAAAAAAGCACCCAAGCAAACAATTAACAAAAAATAATTATGTTCATTTAATGAGAACAATGAAAATACAATTAAAAGATTTAAAAATATTTATGCTATTAATTAAAACATTAATCTGAAAGGGTGAAAATCACTCAGGAAACTAATTAAACCAGTTAAAGATATAGGGGGGAAGGCAACCTTTCACTTTGCATCTGAAAATTTTGTGTATGTGCATCTGACAACCCTCAGATAGAGAGGAAGTTCATAAAAGGTGATCAGTTACCCAAATACTTATCTGGCCCAGAGATAAGGAAAAACCATCTTCACTTGCAGTTGTTCTTCAGCAGACAGAATGATACAGAATCTGGAGTATTCATTTAGCCATCCTGATTAATTGTTAACAATTCATCTACCATATCTCCTGTTCTGTGAAATTTACTCATCCTTATTAAATAATTAATTTCATTTATAAGCCGCCCATCTTACCTCAAGGTAAGTATTACAAATTGTATCAACCAGCACTTATTGCCACATCTTGTGACCTGGAGTTCCACAAGCGAAGAAACTCCTTTGACAGCTACCCATCCCTGCCATGACCCAAATTCCATTATAAGTATGTTTCAGATGTGCTGTTTGGCCCATATGAGGTAACAAACTGAATACTCTATAGCAATGGTGGCAAACCTATGGCACGCGTGCCAGAGAGGGCACTCAAAGCCCTCTCTGTGGGCACGTGCGCCTTGCTCTTTGGCTATGTTTTCGCAGGAAAAAGCCATTTCTCAAGCCCCTTCCTAGCCAAAACAAGCCTCCGGAGTGAGCGCACTGTTTTCAGTTTTGAATTATATCAAATCTGATACCAGAAACAGATGACCTGAGTGCTGCATGTGTTGCTTTCAAACTTACAAAGTATAAGACAAGGTTAGACAAATTATCAGCATGCATACAACAGCAAAAGTCACATTAATTGTTCAAAACATGCCAAATGCAAACTTTTACCTTTCAGTAAAAAGTTGTTTGTATCACTGAAAGCTTTGTTATTGTGTTTGTCTTTTAAGACAAAAGATGTTAATGTATGAGTTGTTTTTTCTAAACTAAAACCTCAGTATTCAGATTAAATTGCCGTGATGGCATTTTGTGATAAATAAGTGGGTTTTGGGTTGCAGTTTGGGCACTAAGTCTCTAAAAGGTTCACCATCACTGCTCCATAGTGTGAACAAAGAGCATAGCAGCAGTATAATATATTACTGTATTTCTGAATAAATGGGTAAGTGTGGTGCTATATAAAATAATGATAAGAATACAAACCCAAACAGTCGCAATCTAAAAGCTGCCACAAAAGAGAGGACCTGGGAGGCAACACTTACAGTTATCGCCCTGTGTGCTTCTATATATTGATCTCGCTTCTGGTTTTAATATCATTTTTGTTGTTTTATGGCAGTAGTTCTCAACCTTTTTAATGCCGCGACCCCCAACCGGTTGTAAGTCGAGGACTACTCAACCAGTCGTAAGTCGAGGACTACTCAACTGGTGCAGCACCATTTGCAGAATGGGACTTTTGGCGGGCTCAGCAGGGCAGAGACAGCCTAGACAATTCCTATTGGCTTTTGAAAGCCAATAGAATTAGACTCTATTCAAGAGAGTCTATTCTATTGGCTTTCAAAAGCCAGTAGAATAAAAGGGAGTAGCACAGCTAAGAAAAGGGGGAAAAAAATGGCGGACTGCATTGTTTGGCGACCCCCGTGAAATGGTCATTCGACCCCAAATGGGGTCCTGACCCACAGGTTGAGAACCACTGCTTTATGGCTATCAAACTCCAATACAGATGAGAGGGAGAAAGGAAAGGAAAGGAAAGGAAAGGAAAGGAAAGGAAAGGAAAGGAAAGGAAAGGAAAGGAAAGGAAAGGAAAGGAAAGGAAAGGAGGCAGGCAACTCACAGCTTTAAAAGCTATGTAAAAAATGTAGTAGAAATTGCCGCTTCAAGGCAAACAATCCTTAAAATCTGGACAATTTAATAACTGCTGGTGTATCCAAACAAAATCAATCCTGGTTTCAAATTTCAATTGTTAGAGATACTGAAATTACTAACACCAGAAACAACACTGTATACTGCTGTAGAAGCTTTATACTAATAAAATATATTTTCTCTGCTTTCTCTCTCATCACTCTATAGAAAAAATAAACATCCTATAATTATCCGGAGGGAGTTGAAATTACAATGACCTCAGCAACTTCTCTGAACTCCAAATCTGTTACCAGTTTTTATGGGGTGTTTTTAACCAAAGTGTTTTGTACATCCATTCTAAACAACAAATAAAACATAAGGCAGAATGACTGACAAAAGTCCAGAAAGTTACAAAGTCTTCCATGGCCCAGAGATTTTACAAAGTATATTTACTTGGCTTATATTTCAATGTTTCATATCCCACTGTGTGAATTGTATATTATTTTATATGAATTTTATATACAATTTTATATCATTGCAATGGGCTTATTTCAATCTTGGCAAAATTCAGATATGTGGACTTCAACTCCCAGAATTCCACAGTTAACATGAATTCTGGGAGCTGGTCTACACATCTTAAAATTTGAAAAACCCTGGTCAATAAGCAAAGTCAGGTGAACTGAAATCTGCAAATATCAGATAAAAATCAGTGGGTTTATAATATGGTCCTAGAAGTATCTTCCCAAAAACAACCACAGATGAATTCAGTGGAGCTTTATTGTTAAGCCTGTACAGAATTAATGCTTCACTTATATAAACATTAAATTTAAAGGAACTCAAACTTCATTTGGGCAAGTAGATAAAGGTGCCGAAATACTAACATGCTCATTTCAGACTATCTGAAATGCTGAGCAGGTCAGGAATCTCACCTTTTTTGGGAAGATCTGAAAAAGGTTAGTCCCAGTTGCCTAGAAGAAAATAATCCATTCCAGCTGCTCCTTCATTATGCTACAGCACTAATTTTGTAAAACTGAGAATTCATACAAGTGAAATTATTTTCCACCAGAGAAATATCTTTTGGGAAAATTTCCTAACTTGAGGCATTGGAAGAACAGCTTCCCCAATCCAGATGTGTTTTTTTTACAGATGTGTTAAACATACAGGTAGTCTTCAATTTACAATCATAATGGAGCCTGCCTGTCAAAATCATGATCTTCGTAAAATATGAACCACCCAATTTTATAATTTTTTTGTGGTGGTTGTTAAGCAAATACTGCAGTCATTAAGGAAAGCAACGGTTCGCTATGGGTGCAGTTTTGCCGAAAATCAGAAGTAACTTCTGGTTTTCAGCAAAACAGTGGTAAAACACAGTCATATAGCCACAGGTTGCTGCAAACAGCTGTAAATATGGCCCGGTTGCCAAGTGCCCAAAGTTCAGTCATGTGACTGTGGGAGGGACCCCCCCCAGGTCAAAACTTTGAGTTTGGGTCGTAAGTGGTAGGCCTACTGTACAAAGGTGGGATTCAAATATGTAAACAACCAGTTCTCTGTGTGGATACCGCTTCCGGAAGTCTGTTCTGGGCCTGGGCAACAAAAAAATTAGCTACTGGTTCTGCTGAAGTGGTGCAAACCGGCTGAATCCCACCACTGCCACTGTACGTTCAAATGTTCATAAGTCAAGGACTACTTACACAATTCCAGGATGTTTTCTAAGCACAACAGGGAATTGTAACCCCATTTGAAACATTTTAAGTTTCAGATTCCTGAAATACAAGATTTTCCCTACACACTTCAGACAGCGAGCATTGATGCTAGAAAATAAACAAGATGAGTGGTCCATCTTTGTTGCAGTTACATATAGTAACTATAGTTTGAAAAACTATATACATCCCATCTTTCCTGTTTTTATTCTGAAATCAAGATAATTGATAAATCCATTTTAAAAAAAATCAGAACATGACATTCATCAGCCCACCTCCTTAACATGCTGTTCTTCCAACTATAGTCTGAAATCAACTTTAAGAAGAGAGTCTAAAATGGATTTTAAAAGGCTCTGTTCTTCACCTAACTTCACACCAATAGGGAATATGGTCCCCAATTGCTTGTAACTCAGCTTCCAATATATGAGAATTTGAAAATCACTATTAGTGAACCAAGAAAATCATATCTCTGGAGAAACAGATCTATATAGATGGAGCAAAATCTTTGCCAACGATTGGTTTAACAAGTTGAAAAATATCTGTAGTTTTTACATTTATGAGATCTCTTTGTGCCTTTAGTTTGGAGCAAAGGGAGTGCCCTTTTGTCCTCATTTTATCCAAGTATTGATTTACAAGGGCACTGCAGGGCTAGGCTAAGAGGAAGCAAGCTTTGGGGTTGAGAAGAAAGTGGAACTTATATTTCTAGCCAACACAAAGCAGAGTTTCCAGCACCACAAACCAGGATTTCCATAAAGAGGTGTTTCAGTTTGTCATATTAATTCAACATAATTTAATATTTCACATATTGCCCAACACTGCTTCTAATTGTTAAGGTGCTGTATTGGGGAGAACTGCATTGAAATCTACTCACCCACACACACCTCCAGCCACTGAAACTAGGTGATTCTGGCCCACTCATTAACTCATCC